TACAATGACGACCTCTACTCCCAATAGAAGCGGAGATATCGACGGATGAAGGCTGGATATCGACGGAGAAAGGTTAGAAAACTTTAACCTTCGATATCTCCTAAACGGTTAGAGATACAGGCTTCGGACAGGTACCAAATTAAAGCCCTTTCAAAACCCTACATTTTGGACTACAATGACGACCCTCTACTCCCAATAGAAGCGGAGATATCGACGGATGAAGGCTGGATATCGACGGAGAAAGGTTAGAAAACTTTAACCTTCGATATCTCCTAAACGGTTAGAGATACAGGCTTCGGACAGGTACCAAATTAAAGCCCTTTCCAAAACCCTACATTTTGGCACAACATGACGACCCTCTACTCCCAATAGAAGCGGAGATATCGACGGATGAAGGCTGGATATCGACGGAGAAAGGTTAGAAAACTTTAACCTTCGATATCTCCTAAACGGTTAGAGATACAGGCTTCGGACAGGTACCAAATTAAAGCCCTTTCAAAACCCTACATTTTGGACTACAATGACGACCCTCTACTCCCAATAGAAGCGGAGATATCGACGAATGAAGGCTGGATATCGACGGAGAAAGGTTCGAAAACTTTAACCTTCGATATCTCCTAAACGGTTAGAGATACAGGCTTCGGACAGGTACCAAATTAAAGCCCTTTCAAAAACCCTACATTTTGGACTACAATGACGACCCTCTACTCCCAATAGAAGCGGAGATATCGACGGATGAAGGCTGGATATCGACGGAGAAAGGTTAGAAAACTTTAACCTTCGATATCTCCTAAACGGTTAGAGATACAGGCTTCGGACAGGTACCAAATTAAAGCCCTTTCAAAACCCTACATTTTGGACTACATGGCGACCCTCTACTCCCAATAGAAGCGGAGATATCGACGAATGAAGGCTGGATATCGACGGAGAAAGGTTAGAAACTTTAACCTTCGATATCTCCTAAACGGTTAGAGATACAGGCTTCGGACAGGTACCCAAATTAAAGCCCTTTCAAAACCCTACATTTTGGACTACAATGACGACCCTCTACTCCCAATAGAAGCGGAGATATCGACGGATGAAGGCTGGATATCGACGGAGAAAGGTTAGAAAACTTTAACCTTCGATATCTCCTAAACGGTTAGAGATACAGGCTTCGGACAGGTACAAATTAAAGCCCTTTCAAAACCCTACATTTTGGACTACAATGACGACCCTCTACTCCCAATAGAAGCGGAGATATCGACGGATGAAGGCTGGATATCGACGGAGAAAGGTTAGAAAACTTTAACCTTCGATATCTCCTAAACGGTTAGAGATACAGGCTTCGGACAGGTACCAAATTAAAGCCCTTTCAAAACCCTACATTTTGGACTACAATGGCGACCCTCTACTCCCAATAGAAGCGGAGATATCGACGAATGAAGGCTGGATATCGACGGAGAAAGTTTAGAAAACTTTAACCTTCGATATCTCCTAAACGGTTAGAGATACAGGCTTCGGACAGGTACCAAATTAAAGCCCTTTCAAAACCCTACATTTTGGACTACATGGACGACTCTCTGCTCCCAGTAGAAACGGAGATATCGACGGATGAAGGCTGGATATCGATAGAGAAATGCTGGAAAACTTTAACCTTCGATATCTCCTAAACGGTTAGAGATACAGGCTTCGGACTGGTACCAAATTAAAGCCCTTCAAAACCCTACATTTTGGACTACATGGACGACTCTCTACTCTCAGTGGAAGCTGTGATATCGTCGGAAAAAGGCTGGGTATCGACGGAGAAAGGCTGTAAAACTTTAACCTTCGATATCTCCTAAACGGTTAGAGATACAGGCTTCGGACTGGTACCAAATTAAAGCCCTTTCAAAACCCTACATTTTGGACTACATGGACGACTCTCTACTCCCAGTAGAAGCGGAGATATCGACAGAGGAAGGCTGGATATCGACGGAGAAAGGTTGGAATATTTTTGCCTTCAATATCTCCTAAACGGTTAGAGATACAGGCTTCGGACTGGTACCAAATTAAAGCCCTTTCAAAACCCTACATTTTGGACTATATGGACGACTCTCTACTCCCAGTGGAAGCGGAGATTTCGACGGAGAAAGGTTAGAAAACTTTAACCTTCGATATCTCCTAAACGGTTAGAGATACAGGCTTCGGACAGGTACCAAATTAAAGCGCTTTCAAAACCCTACATTTTGGACTACATGGACGACTCTCTACTCCCAGTGGAAGCGGAGATATCGACGGAGGAAGGCTGGATATCGACGGAGAAAGGCTGTAAAACTTTAACCTTCGTTATCTCCTAAACGGTTAGAGATACAGGCTTCGGACTGGTACCAAATTAAAGCCCTTTCAAAACCCTACATTTTGGACTACATGGACGACTCTCTACTCCCAGTGGAAGGCTGGATATCGACGGAGAAAGGTTGGAAAATTTAACCTTCAATATCTCCTAAACGGTTAGAGATACAGTCTTCGGACTGGTACCAAATTAAAGCCCTTTCAAAACCCTACATTTTGGACTACATGGACGACTCTCTACTCCCAGTGGAAGCGGAGATATCGACGGAGAAATGTTAGAAAACTTTAACCTTCGATATCTCCTAAACGGTTAGAGATACAGACTTCGGACTGGTACCAAATTGAAGCCCTATCAAAACCCTACATTTTGCACTACATGGACAACTCTCTACTCCCAGTAGAAGCGGAGATATCGACGGATGAAGGCTGGATATCGATAGAGAAAGGCTGGAAAACTTTAACCTTCGATATCTCCTAAACGGTTAGAGATACAGACTTCGGACTGGTACCAAATTGAAGCCCTATCAAAACCCTACATTTTGGACTACATGGACGACTCTCTACTCCCAGTAGAAGAGGAGATATCGACGGATGAAGGCTGGATATTGATAGAGAAATGCTGGAAAACATTAACCTTCGATATCTTCTAAACGGTTAGAGATACTGACTTCGGACTGGTACCAAATTAAAGCCCTATCAAACCCTACATTTTGGACTACATGGACGGCTCTCTACTCCCAGTAGAAGCGGAGGTATCGACGGAGGAATGCTGGATATCGACGGAGAAAGTTTGGAAATTTTAACCTTCAATATCTCCTAAACGGTTAGAGATACAGGCTTCGGACTGGTACCAAATTAAAGCCCTTTCAAAACCCTACATTTTGGACTACATGGACGATTGTCTACTCCCAGTGGAAGCGGAGATATCGACGGAGAAAGGTTAGAAACTTTAACCTTCGATATCTCCTAAACGGTTAGAGATACAGGCTTCGGACTGGTACCAAATTAATACCCTTTCAAAACCCTACATTTTGCACTACATGGACGACTCTCTACTCCCAGTAGAAGCGGAGATATCGACGGATGAAGGCAGGATATCGATAGAGGATGGCTGGAAAACTTTAACCTTCGATATCTCCTAAACGGTTAGAGATACAGACTTCGGACTGGTACCACATTGAAGCCCTTTCAAAACCCTACATTTTCGACTACATGGACGACTCCCAGTTGAAGCGGAGATATCAACGGAGAAAGGTTGGAAAACTTTTACCTTCGATATATCCTAAACGGTTAGAGATACAGGCCTCTGTCTGGCACCAAATTAAAGTCCTCTCAAAACCCTACATTTTCAACTACATGGACGACTCTCTACTCCCAGTAGAAGCGGAGATATCAACGCAGAAATGTTGGAAAATTTTATTCTTCGATATCTCCTAAACGGTTAGAGATACAGGCCTGGTTCTGGCACCAAATTAAAGTCCTCTCAAAACCCTACATTTTGCCGTAAATGACGTCTCTCTGCTCCCAGTAGGAGCGGAGATATCAACGGAGAAGTGTTGGAAAACTTTTATCTTCGATTTCTCCTAAACGGTTAGAGATACAGGCCTGTTTCTGGCACCAAATTAAAGTCCTCTCAAAACCCTACATTTTCGACTACATTGACGATTCTCTGCTCCCAGTAGAAGCAGAGATATCAACCGAGATAGGTTGGAAAACTTTAAGCTTCGTTATCTCCTAAACGGTTAGAGATACAGGCCTGTTTCTAGCTTTCATAAATAGGTTAAAATAATTGAATTTCTTGTTTCGAATATTCTACAAATATATATTTTCATAATTACTTCAAATGAGTATTTATAATTTTCCTAAAATTTAACTTATTGTTTTTTAATGTAATTACTTAATATTTTACAAAACTTTATTATCTGATAAAATATTGTTGATTGTCTCGCACGAACGGTCGCGGACATAATAATAAGTGCCCGTTTTTTTGCAACTTTCGGAATGCATCCCGACTCGAGAAGTATGTGAGTCACTGCTCCGCCTGCGGAGCACGTCCGCGCAGTGACTCACAACGAGAAGCGAGAAATGAAATATACGTGGTGGAACATATAATAATATACGTCCTACAGGTCCGATGTCCAATAAGGATATCCTTGTTACTTTCAATTTATGTCTACGGACGTAAATCGGACATATGGACATAAATTGGACGTGAAACGTACATCCATTGGATGTCCAGTGCTGTCTGGGTATTATAATATATCTCACCGTGTATATATCATTTCTTAGGGCAAGAGCACAGGCTTTTACATAACGCATAATACACAACGCATAAGAGAATCACCCAATCAGAGTTCTTCATTTCTGTCCTGAGAAGGGAAATGAAGAAAACTAATTCGTTTATTCTCTTATGTGTTATGTATTATGTGTTATGCAAAAGCCTGTGCTCTGGCCCTTAGCGTACTCTAGTCTACTCTACTCTACTCGATTTATCGAACAGCATTAAGTTGTCATAAATCATGAAGATAATAGATGGTCGTGCCTATCATACCTTTCAGTCCTAATGAAACTAACTCGAACTCGATTTTTCGTAAACACCTAAAATAAATGATTGGTTGGATCTAGTAATTCACCAGATAATATTTTGCATCGGTTGGTTGTGTGCAATCGTGCTGTGTAGAATTGGATGCTTCCCAACCGAACTGACTACAATGGAAATTAAGCCAATGTGTATCAAATTATAACCTAAAAAGTTAATGACAACAGTAATAAATATCATGTCGCAAATTTGTAGCAGTCTAGTCAGAAAAATGTATGAATTTAAATATATAAAATTTATGCCAATTACTTTGGCAATAAGAAATATGGGTAATTATCATGTGATATATTTTGTTAAAGATATACTAGTTAGGTTATGTTAAACATTTTTGTTTTGCTTTCTAACATGTAATATATTATTATATGTAATATATTTCTAATATAATTTAATGTATATTAACGCGCTGCTGAAATATTAAAAACCTTGACACTTGTAGCAACTGTGAAACGGTTTTATAGAAGGACAAATATACTTTCAAGCGGCAGCAAATTTGAAATTATGCTAGATCAGAGGAAATTAAAGACACCACAGGGTAAAATATTCGAAGTCAACAGCAAACCCTTGGCTTTAGCTGTAGCTGCTGAATGGGATGCGCAGAAGGAGATCATTGATCGTGGCAATATGCACTTGGTATAATCAATATAATAAAACATAAAAAGTAATCTTAATCTGTAATTTAAATAAGTATACATCGGCCGACTTTTTCTTTTTTTCTATTGTAGACAGCCTTATGCAATACCGTGTTGGACAATCCACAAAATTGCACCAAAGTAGATCTAGTCAATAATATAGTAAACTGTTTAGAAATGGATACAGTATTATTTTATTCCAGTGTAAGAAAGTGTTTGTACAAATCTTTGATTTCCGCTGTAATATAACAATATGCTATTTTGATTATAATAATCATTTATGACTTCAGGAGGCAGACGAACTATATAAGTTGCAGATTGAAAAGTGGGAGCCTATAGTTCATTGGTTTTGTAAGCATTACAATGTAAATATTGCAGGAACTCAGAGTATAGAGGCACCTGGTGTATCGTTGGAAACCAAAACTGCAATAACAAGACACCTAATGTCACATAATTTCAATAGTATTTATGGTAATAATTTAATCTTATATAAGAAGATGGGAGAAATCTCCTCCTCCACCTACTATTTTCTTCATATTAACTATACTGATTGTACTCAGGTCTTGTATATGCAGTAGATGGATTGAAATCTGTTATTCTAACTCTTGCCACAGCTGAGAGAACAATTAACGTCTCAGAAGCTGTGGATCTTTCGCGACTGGAGGAGAAATATCAGGTATAAATGTTTTGATGCTCTTTTCTTCGTCTAATTGAGGTAAAAATATCGATAGAAGCAGCCTCTGTGCTCTGTTACCTTTTGTTACACATTCACAAATGGTTTGGCTTTTACAAAGTTTCTTCACACACAGATCTCTCACTGGGGTAACGTGGAATGGCATCATGAGTATAGCAAACATGATCTGCAGGCACGTCTTTCGGCAGCGATGCTGTTCGTATATCTGAACTCGCACTCTGCTACTTCGCGACCGAAGAACGACGCCCCTGATGTAAGCTGATTCTATTTAGGGTTGTTACGAGAAAGATGACTATGATAATATAAAATTTGTAAGAACAACGTATTTACCGCTATTATAATAACATTTTCTCTCAACGTCGATGCGACCGATTGCTTTCATACTGATTAGTATAACTGGCAGAAAATCCTAACGCGGCGTCCAGGTGATTATTCTCTAATGGCGACTTATCAGACTGGAATGGAACAGTCGGGTCCGACCCACTCTTTTGTACAAATGCAGCTGAAAAGTTGACGAATCGTTGTAGGTGACGTGTGAATAATCATATATTATCATATAAGCATATTTCTACATTGGATTTTTACCTGTACGACGATCCGTGATGCAAGCACACAGCACCATTTTTGCACAAGTGGTGGATGCACTCGTTACGATTACACTCGCCCACACCGCGACCGGTTGCGGGACTAGAACCGGTCAACGGAAGGATCGAAGAGTCCGTGCGCAATTCGACGTCGAATATGCATCCGGAGAATCCAGTATGCAGAGGCAGATCATGCGGTAACGTTTCAAAGTTTTTCGATTTATATCCACCTACAAGAATTTTATACCTCCTTGATCTCTGCTCCTCTTATCGAATTTCACCACATTATTTAATTATAGTAAGTTGACCTAGAAGTTCTTTTCTTATAAGATATATTTGTCTATTTGAAAAATGCTTTCAAATAAGCTGCCAAATGCTTTCTATATCAACACTTGTCCAGTGTTTAGGGAAAGACTGGAACGAACCTAACGTATTTAGTTACGCTAAACTAATTAAACACAAAATGAGTGGAAAAAAGCTCAATTGTTATCTGCTAAGACATCAAGATTGCGATCAACATCAAGATGCGGCAGATAAAAATAGAGCGCCTGCATTTAGCGTCTACATCGAAACACGCGATGAGAGACAATGCTTAAAACACCGAAGTTGTGCCATGTGTACATGGCTCTACATGACAACATACCAATATAAAGAACAGGCGAGACGTCCAATTGAGTCATAGATCCTACTGCCTGACCGCTCACATTGCTCATACCCTCCACGGCGAGCCATGCTTCTTTACTTCTTCTTCCAACCCGAATCGTATACGTTTTACTCTTACCAGCCGATCCCAACACGTTCGTGGAACTCAACGAGTCGTTGGTGAAGATCCTTCGCACCCCTATTAGCCAACAAAATGCAATAGTAAAGCTCATCGATTCAGATAGCGACTGTATTCTCTAACAGGAGATGATCATACTCACCAGAACCTAAATCCCACGTGAGCATGATGTAGCCACGAACGAATGTGATCGAGAAGTGGTCGGAGACGTCGCGACGCGAGCCACGCTGCCCAAAGTACGCGATCAGCGAGATCTGGTCGAATGTGCGGGGAATAAGTCGCAGTTTTAGCTCCATCGTATCTTTTATAGAAATCGGTACGCCGTAAGCAATATAGGAAGCGAAACCGGGAATAAGGACCGAGAAGGCCGGTCGTTCCAAGATAGCATCTGAGGACAATAAGTAATTTCGACATATCCTATCGTTAACTTAACATATTATGAATCTGCAGAATTGTCTTGTAGACTGTTTGTTAAACACATTGCGGTTTGTTACCATCTTCGCATAATAACCCGTGACTGCCGAGTGGACAAACGCAAATGAAGCCGGTTCCTGGTGAACTCACGCACGTAGCGCCCATCGAGCAAGGATTATCGTTGCATGCTGAATGTTCGCATAAAGGCCCGGTATAACTATGAATGATATTTCTCTATTATCGTAATATTACATAAAATTTAATATTTATATAAAAATTATACATAAATTATATTTATATATCATAATAAAAAAAATATATATATACACATACATACATATATATATACATATATATATATATATATATGTATATATATGTATATATATATATTGTATAATATATAAAAAATTTATAAATTATTCAAAGATTAGATTTATTTAAAAACTTTCTATAATTTTATTCTTTTAACTGTCCTTTTTCTTCAGACGTATGGAAGGATGTAAACCAGGAAAAAAAAATTGCTTTCAATTACCGAATAATAAATTTCTTACCCTGCTATGCACCTGCAGCGAATTCTGCCGTCGCTTTCTTCACATGCACCAAAGTTCTGACAAGGATTAGATAAGCACAAGAACGACGTACACTCCTCGATCTGGAACGTTTCTGTGGAGTTGTGAATGAAGTGTCGCGAAATGCCGTTCACCTATAATAGATAATGGATAATTGATAATTTCGAGTCGTCTTAAATAAGAACCAGAAACTATATTCCGCCCTCTAAATGTAATACTTTGCTAAAGACGTACCTTCAGAGAATCCATGCAACCAATGAATCCCATAGCATGGGGAAAATAATGCGAGAATGTTAATGGGATGCCTCCTATATATAGATTGGCATGTTTTGGGACCATTCCTCGTTGCGGTAGTATTTGCTCACCTGTCACAGCCATGGTGCCGTTAACCAGCAATTTGGCAAAACACTGTTCATTTTCATCGTTGGCAACGTATTGGAAGCTGTCAACAAGGAGAGAATTTAATGTTTACCGGCATGTTTACCGACATTTTCACGGTAAATAATCTGCGCATCCAAGTATTTGGAAAACAGAAATATATAGATAGGATACATATATAGAGAAATATAAATATACCCTGTATAAAATGTCGAATTGAAACGTATTAAAAAATATTGACATTTTGAATACTGCTGTCTGAATTCTGCTTTCTGATTCGAAGAAAGGGATTGAAAAGTATTAGTTCCCATTAAATTTCACCGCGCTAAATGCGAGACGGCAGTGGTGAATGCTTCGCATTAAAAAGGATTCAATTCATTTCAAATATGCCTTGCATTTAATCGTAATCGATAATTTTCAAATGCGAACTTTCGCATTGAAAAGTATTCACTTCTTTTCCTAATTGTTTTCGGATTCAGAGGCATACAAGATTTTCACGTTCTATTTCCCGTTGCATTAAAAGGTATTGGCCCGCGATCCAATCCAAGATTTTCGCAAAGCAGAATTCATGACGAAATCTCGTGAATGCGAAACAATACTTTTAAATATGACATTTTATACAGGGTATATAAATATAAATATATAAGTAAATATAAATATATATTAATATATTTAACTACTTTATATATATTTTTTTTTAAATAAGATGAAATCTGCATGATCTATACCTCATGTCAATGCTCACTTCGAAGCCATTATCGATAACGGCGTCGATTTCGCCGAGTAACATGGTTTCTAGACCGCAGGAAAATTGGAATTTCAACGAGCCGAGCTCCAGATACACCAGAGAATATCTTTCGTTGTCGAAATAAACGTGCAATATTATCCCATTCTTGTACACTGTCTTGAGCTTAATGTAAATTTGCAGTGTGGCATTCTTCTGATCGATGATATTCACATCGACGTATTGTCTAGCAAAAGATTTGCCATTGAAGGCTGCCTGCGTCGAGTCTGTCTTGCAACCTTCGGCGTACTACAAGAATAATCAATATCATTCAACGCTTTTCGAAATACATCGTTTCATGTATTTCGAAGCTGTTTGCACTGTTTGGGCTGTTTTCTTAACTATCACTACTGTTGCCGCATCAGCTACTTACTTCTGTGACATTGCGTGGAGTCAACGTGGTGGTGGAACTCGTGGAACTCGTGGAACACAGACTTCCGTGGCAAGTGCCGATTTCCGCGGTGCTGCTGGCTTCGACGCTGGTGCCAGGACCCAACGAAGATACGCTGATGGACGTTAATACAGAAGATATCGTCGTCGGAGTCTCAAACTTCCCGGTTGAAGTTAGAACCGTTGGCAGTGTTGATGAGGAAGTGGTTAAAGGTAGGACAGTCCTGGGCGAATCCACGATCGTGGTTCCAAGATCGCTGCTTCTATTTTGTGTCGTTTCTGTCGTGTAACGGAATGTCGTATTGGCGAGGAACGTCATGTCAGTACCATGGTCCGTGATGACGCTCGTCACGGTCGTTCTTTCGTCCTTTCGGTCTTCATCCGTGTCGATTATCGTGGGTCGATGACTAGGTAAAAACGAAACGTAGTGTCATTTATACGAATATTGATATTAAACAAGTATTATTATCTAATATTAAGTACTAGTATTAACTATACTTTAAATAATAATTGCAATTTGAAAGTAATTATATTATTTACTGTAATTATTGAATGTATTATTTAACTTAATTTAAGTGAATCTATTATTTAAATATTACAACTATATACTGTAATTTATCCAGCTGTAACGTTTCAGATTATAGCAATTACTTTTTATATTATAGTATCTTGATATTCTAAGTGAAGATCGCAGTATACTTTGTGTTTACCTGGAACTCATCACGTACTCCGTCACACGCGTTGCGTCTTCATCCACTCTATCGGAGGACGTTGGATACATCATCTTTGTCGTTTGATCATAAATACTGGGTTCCTTGGTAACTTCGCCATCATAAAACGACCTGCCAGTTGGAGGATAAACTTCGGTACTTCTCGTCTCGGTTACGTGAGAGTAGTCTTCGGTAGCAACGGACGTTGCAAGCTCCGACGTAATGAAATCACCCTGAGTCGTGAAGTCTGTCGAGGGCACTTCGGTCGGGAAACCAGCGGTTTCCGTGCTACCACTTTCGTACGCTAACGTTGTTGTCGTTTTCTCCGTAATCGTGAATTTCCTCGTATAAGGCGGAACACTCGTCCTTGAGGACGTTGAGTAAGTAACGACTCTAGAGGTCAACGTCGACGACGAAGGCACGGAAGTATCCAACATCGAGGTCGAGTCTCTAAGTGAAGTGACGAAAACTGTGGTTCTACCCGAACCTGTTGCCTGCTCAGTCGTCTCTTCTGTTTCGAAAAGGCTCGTACTCGTGGGGAAGCTGTACTCGCACATAGGTCCACCGTATCCAGGCGAGCAGGAACAAGTGAAGCTGTTGATACCGTCGATGCAAGTGCCGCCGTTGTCGCAGTGTGCGAATTTCGACTCACAGTCGTCGTACCTCAATTCACACAAGACACCGTGGTAATCCGGGACGCAGTAGCAAACCGGACGCTCGTCCTCCAACAGACAGACCGCTCCGTTCTGGCAAGGATTCTCGTCGCATGGGACGATCGCCTTGTCGCAATCCTTTCCGGTGAACCCTTCGATAGAGGCAAGGGGAAGATGAATTGAATTAATATAATTTTTGTAATATTATACCCGAACTTGTTAGTGATTATTAAAACTATAACATAATAATTATTATTGATAAATATTAGAATATAATAAATATTAGTATTATATTAGTATAATATTAATATAATATCTAATACTGATATAATATTTTTTATACAATTTGTCCGGATAGTTTAAACTTTTAAGAGACATCTTAAAGAAGTCTAAAAGACATTTTAGACCTTCTTTTGACAAGTCTTTTCAAAATCTTTTTATTAATCTATATTGTCTAAGCAAAACGATTGAATTTTTATCAAATCGTCATCTATAATCCGCTTCATGGATGTCCGGTTTTAGAAAGAGAAACAGAAATTTATGACTCACTTACCTATGATCCAATTCTACTTCTATGATCCATTATCGGATTACAGGAGATCCACTTACCAAATAGACAAGCACAAGTGTAAGAAGCCGGGACGTTGATACAGAGTCCACCGTTCTTGCATGGTGATATAAGACACTCATCGACGTCCACGTCGCAGAGGGTGCCGGCCCATCCTATTCGAGTAAGAAGATCATAAATGAGAGGAAGTAGACACAAGAAGAGACCAAATCTCTCACCTTCGCGACAACGACAAAAGAACAAGAATCCGGGCCCTTCGACGCACTCGCCCGAATTCTTGCATATCGTCTCGTTGCAGACCGAGGCGTCGATTTCGCAGTAGTCTCCTGCGAAAGGATGAACACCGTGAATAACGACAGCGCAAAGTTTTGCCGGGTGAAGCTCAATGCGGCAAAATACCTGAGTACCCGTCCGGACATTGACAAGTGAATCCATCATAATCGACGCAGGTGCCGTTGTTGAGACACGGGTGGTTCGAGCACTCGCTGTATTTTTGCTCACAATTAACACCTGGCAAGAATAGCGTCATCTACTCATTACAATCCCATAATTTTGCGTACTTAATTAAACTTGCAGTTCACGAGCGATAAATATCAAAAACGTAGTACGGTCTTTTCCCAGTAAACACCAACCAATAACGTTATGTTGTCGTTATAATTTCTCACTCGACAATGTAACTGTTATATATAACTTGTGTCATAATGCACTTGGAAGTGCATATCATGCACTTACATTGCTAAGTAGAAGAATGCAATATTAATATAACGTTACTCTGTTGTTTGCTGCTTACTGGGCTGCTTATTGAAACCCAGCAAACCCAAGGTAACATAACTGTTAGTTATAATTTTCTATTCAGCAATGTAACTTACATAATGCGCGTGTTATATTGCATTTACATTGTTGAGTGGGAAATTATAACTAATTGTGTGATTCCCAGTCGGAACCATGACATTGATTTGTTGTTGAAATAGTCGATGAAACGTTGAATCATCGTTAATTCAACCGTCATCGACGTCGAATTAACGTTGTGCTTCTGATTGGGTTGTTACTTGGTATTTGCTGGGAAACGACTCACTATGATAATAAGCTAGGAAGTAAAAAAAATAGATTACCCACGAAACCGTCAGTGCACGTGCAATTGTACGAGGCAATGCCGTCGTTGCAGGTGCCACCGTTAAGGCAAGGATTCGACCAGCACTCGTCCCAGTTGATCTCGCAACTGATTCCCGTGTAACCGTCGATGCAGTAACAGGAATAGGTACTGCTCGGGTTCGCCGTCGTGGAATGTTACCGGAACAGAAACGAGGAGCGGAAACATTCGATTGAGACTTGGAATCTCCACCGTTCAATCGTCGCGCTTCGCGAGCGCGCAATTACAAATATCTACCTGTTCTTGTTGTCCGAACAGATCCCGTACATGCAGGGATCTCCGCTGCAATCGGATCCTAGCGCAAACACCGTGATCGTGGTCGACAGTACCATTAGAACAAATATACCCTCGCACGTGCTCCTTGCACACGGCGGACAGTAAATCCACTTATAAGCCAGTCTAAGTAGCCTTATATACCTTTACAGCACGATTACAGTATTTTATATGTGCACACATGTCGGTCTGCCATCAGTGGCATGTAGGTGTTTACAGTGCAAGTACACGCGCTTGGATACTCGTTTCCGTGTGTGTGTGTGCGTATGTGTGTGCGTGTATGTGTGTGTGTGTTGTGTTGTGTATGTGTATGTGTGTATGTGTGTATAGACGTATGCAACACATACGATTGGGAATAAGGCTCTTATTGTCCCTCACGTGTCTCACATGAGACGATGCAACAATCACAGGGAACATTCGTTGTAAAGTGCACTGGAGAATCTTGAAAGAAAAAGATTCTTAAGAATCAGATTTGTGCTTAATAATAATAATTGCTGAGAGGTTAAAAGTCCAAGAAAGATTTTCTCTTCGTTATCAATGCTTCGAGCTGCTTCGTGGAATAAAATTGAATTAAAAACAGTTAGATGCGGTAAAGTTAGAGACGAGAGAGACCACCTCCTCCTCATTCCTCCTCGCGAGTATATGTTATCATGGAGGAAAGAGTACAGGGAAATTGGAGGAGCTGGGAATTATAATCGGGTGAATATGTAACAAGCAAAGGATGAAAGTAAAAACTCCCTGCTGAGGTCTTCTGCTAAGAAGCATGTACGCGTCCCAATCATGCGTATATGTCCCTGCGTGTATGCAAAGTATATTATATATAAATATAAAAGTTCAAGGTCGAACGGAAAATTTCGATTTCGCAGATCAGACATAGCCCTCTCGCTCGGTAAAGATACAAAATCGCAAACTTAATTAGACTAGAGCGATACGATGCCGAGTCACGTCATTGTGCCAACGCTCGTCCGTGACCTTTCTCGCGAATCGTGAATGTTGCATCATCGTCAGTCAGAGCGCTATCGGCAGAGAGAGAGAGGGAGAGAGAGGGGGGGGAGGAATTACAATTGTACTTGATCGGTACTATATTACAACGAGAGAACGACGATGCGCTACGGTTACGGCTCCTGAAGGGTGAATGGAAAAGCAAACTCGACTGGAACCGGGGGGAGAAGAAGGACCCAACCCGAAGGATCGCCCTTCCCATGTTATTACCTTCCCATGTCTGTGCGACCGACGACGGCAATAAAAAAAAGGAAGTACGCGAGTCGTCGTCGTCGTCGTCGTCGTCGTCGTCGTCGTCGTCGTCGTCGTCGTCGTCGTCGTCGTCGTCGTCGTCGTCGTCGTCGTCGTGAAACACGGCACTTCCGACGATCTGTACACAACGGTATACTGCATATATCGCACGCGGCATAGACCGTGTATATACGTTATATGCACGTTGTCCTCGGCGATGCCGCTCACGATATACCCCGTATGCCTGCCTCGTCGTCGACGCCGACGACTCGAGCGTAGTCTTAGCAACCGGCCGACCATACAAATAGTAGATATTACACGCTGGATACGCTTGCGTGAAGCCGAATCGTGTCAATATTCCAATCGCGATCTCGTCCTGGCGAAGAGAATCCACACGTTGCGTGGGCTCGTCCCAATTCCGTGAGTGCACCTGCGACTCACGGATCCTGGGAGAATCCAGGGCGACTTGCCATTCGAGCGACCATTGTTACCGCTATTCTCGTCGTTATGGGTAATCTCGCAATTATTGTCCTTGCAATTGTTGCAAATTACTGCCTAAAACTTTCCCTGCAAATTACGCGCTGCAGAGTGAGCGAAGCATGCTTCACGCCACGAGTAGCTGGTCGAGGGAGGATCGATAATGCGTTTTCGCGGGGTAAATCGATAGGCGAGAACGCGGTATGCGAAACGCTCTTTCTTTCTGAACGGCGGAGGAGTATCGCTCGCGTAAAGCGCGTGAAATGTAAATTAGGTCGACCGGCTGTTTTCACCAGCGAGGTATGCACGCTGCCAAAACATAATTCTATTTTAAGCCGAGATTTATCAAATGCGCACACGCGAGCGCAAGTTCCCACACTCGAAAGCAGTGTCCCTCATGCAGTTTTGATCTCGTACGCACGTTCGTGACACAATGCGCTTGCAGATATCAGCTTAGCCTTCCTACGATTACGTAATCCATTCATAACTAGACTCGCGTAGGGATTGCGAAGGCTGCGCCGGCTCTCGCTCTTTCGACATTGACGGCCTGCAATGATATATCGTTTTTGGCAAAGGACTGATATAAGTGGCCGCATATTACAGTAACGCCCCTTTGCGATACAACTTTCGTGTCGAACACGAGCCTGAGCTCGCACAATCGCCAGACCCTCCATGGAGATCGTTGTACTAAATTAAAGCTAACACAGTCACAAAATTTTGGGAGGAATCTGTGAATTGGGCTTACCAATGTTACTTCAGCGAGGTCAGATTATAATGTAATAAACCCACGCAACGCGCAAAGCACCTTTGAAACATGTGTGTTTTGTGGAAAAAGATATAAAAGTATAATGAAGTCAAAATAATATTCGTGGCAGCTGATAACAACGACTGACCAGTCGAAGAGCCTTTCGAAATCCGTAACATCACAAATCGATCTTACTGAAGTTAAAGGACTTGATCTGATCGATTTAAAGGACCGTCGCAAACGAGATGCGAGTCTCACTAAATTTGACTCGGTATCTCCGTGCTCCCTGCAAAGATGTTGGAGAAGATCAAAGGAGAATCGCTACAAAGTCGCGCTTTCTCGTTCTCCGTAGTTAAGTGGACACAAAATTGGCTCGGTGCCTTACCAAGACCGTACAAAAGACGTGCTCGTCAACAACAACAAATCAGTTCGTGTCAACAAGGAGATATCGAGCGATATCATTGCAAAGCGCCATGGAGCCGAGGCAGACGGAGGAGTTGCTCCAGTTTCATCTACGAGAGAACAATCTGCCGCAAGACGAGAGTCGCTCATGGAGAATTGAGCGCTCCCCTCTGGGCGGTCGCGGCATGTTCGCCATGCGAGACATCCAGCCGGGTGAGCTGATCTTCATGGACGTCCCGTTGCTGCTGGGACCGCGATGTCACAGCAAGTACCTGCCGATGTGCGTGGTCTGCTACAAAAATGACTGCCCGCTCTTCCCGTGCGATCACGGCTGCGGCCTGCCGATCTGTTCGACCAAGTGCGAGAACTCGCTGATGCACGCACGTGCTGAATGCAGAATCCTCCGAGAGTTGGAGCCCACCTGCGGTTCCACCTGGTCCAAGGATCTGTTACTAACGGTGGTGCTGATACGCGCCCTTGCGCTCTCCAGCGAACAGCGCAGGCTCTTGTTCGCTTTCGAATGCCACCTGAATCTTGCTCCTAATTATGAGGTAATCGGACTTAATCGCTTTCTCTCTCTCTCTCTTGTTCGTTCTTTCCGTCGTCGGTCGTCCGGAACATGGATGGCGATTGTGGCCAAGTCCAACAGGATCAATATCGATTGATACTATACGTGGATGTCTGTTTACATTTAGTTTATAGTCTCGACTGTAATGTGATATGAATATGTTAGAGAGACTAGAATTAACTATTTGATTTCATCCTATAACCACATATCCGTAAATTCCTACTAAAGATCGACTTGCTGAAGAGGAACATAACCCACCTACCTGACGAAGAGCAACTGGCGCTCATGAAACGCATCTGCGGAATTTTCAACACCAACTCCTTCGAGGTTGTGGCCGTACGGGACAAGGATCGCGTGGTGAGCCTACGTGGTATTTATCCGATAGGCGCCTTGCAGAATCACTGCTGCGTGCCGAACACCAGGCACCACTTCGACGATCAGCAACGGCTGTATATGAGCGCAGCGCTTCCCATAGCGGCTGGCCAAGAGATCACCATGTCCTACACTGATCTGCTGTGGGACACGCGCAGCAGGAGATGCTTCCTGCGAGTCACCAAACACTTCTCCTGCGACTGCAATAGATGCTCCGATCCCTTGGTACATCAAGGTCGCGACGCACTCCCGCGACTGGGATTCTCATGTATGATTCTATGTTTCTCCTTAGGAATTCGGATCCCAGCTTGGAGCGCTTCTCTGTGCCAAAGAAAACTGTCCAGGGCACTTGTTACCTTGCGATTCTCTCAGCTACGAGTCCTCTTGGACCTGCAGCGAGTGCCAGACTAGTGTGAGCCATAGACAGGTGAAAAGTTGAATTTTATCTGAGTTTCTATATATATTTTCTTAAATTTAATATATAGTATAAATATAATATCATAGATACATTGCATATTATAAAATTGTTATAAGATTATGATATTATTATATATATACATAGTGTTCAATTTTAATCTAATTTTAATCACCCCTCGTAACTTTGCAGGGAGCAATCGTAGAGAAAAATATTTCAGGCAAAAGTATTATATGGTTTCAAGAGGGACATAAAACAACTATATCATTTTGTTTACAGATGGTACTTTTAAGATATACTTTTTAAGATATTCACTGATCATTACTTTTTTTAATGGAAACTCTAATTTTTTATTATATCATCTTTTCCTACCAATTAATTTTAACGATTCTTGTCTGAAACAATTTTCTCCATGACCGTTCCCTGCTAAGTTACGAGGGGTAATAGATTAAAATTAGACATATATACACATACATATATATATATATATATATGTATGTATGTATGTATACATGTACGTTTATAGTACGTATATAATATTATCATTTTGCAGATTGAATGTATTTATTCGGCACTGAACGCACTCGTGCTCGAGGCTATAAACAAAGCTCCGCGAGAATTTTTGAGATTTTTAGAAATGAAATTATCAAAATTGATACCAACTAGTAATTATATCATGGTAGATGCCAAGTATCGTGTCATCTCCTACTTTGGCAGAATTCCTGATCTCACATGGGACGGTAAGGTTTCACTTTATATTTTCTGTCCATTTCTCTCGAACGTAATTTGAGAATTTTTCATTATCTTTACATCGTACAGTAATTAAACATAATGAACTGTAACGTAAACGTAATGAAACGTATAATAAACTGTAATTTGTATTACTTGTGTCAGATCTTACCGATGCGGAACTTAGAATTAAAAAAGCGTACTGTAATGATGTGCTTTCCAGTTTGGACATTTTAGGGTCAGGAGATTCTATAAAGAAAGGTAATTTGATAATTTATATATACTTTTCTAATTTTCAATCAGAAATATTAGAAACACGGAATAAAACGTTCAATTAAAGTTTCTATCTTTCTTCTAGAAGCTTACGATAACTTTAGAACCATTTGAGATGACTAATTTTGAAATGAAATGCAGATGATTTTTAATAAAACTTTAACGTGTAACTTATTAGTGCTTGGAGTTCCAAGTAAGCATATTTCTCAAATATCCTTCTAACATTTCAGGCCTCGTTTTATATGAGCTGTATCGCACGAAACTTGAATTATCTAAACGTCAGACTTCCAAAGATGACGATAAACAGAGGCATCGGTATAAGAAAGTACGATAGATAATTCATCTAAATTTATTATTATACAGTATTTTATTTTTATTATCGCATTTTTTTCTCTTTTTCTTCAGAGTGATGACAATGAATGTCTATTACAAAAGGCCATGATTATATTGCAAAATGATGTTGGTGCTGCTCTCGTTCGCAGAAGTGATTAATGTAAATTAACAGCCGTATTTATTGCGTTACATTCGACGTCTGAATGGATATATATATATATGTATATTCATATACATAACATATATACATATATATATATACACATACATGTACATATATATAAAATATATAACATATATATAATATAGCATTATATATATATATCATATATAAAATGAATTATGCTACACATAATGCGTACATAAATATATTACATATATGAGAACAACAATGGAGAAACGTGATTCTCTATCACAATTTTCAGCTTCATTTCTTGATTGATCAAGCAGCAATTGATGCCGATATTCTGCAAAGCTCGAATATAAATATCCAAAACATGCGATAATAATCCTCGCGAGACACGATGTTTGTATAAATAGAATAGTCTCTAGCGCACTTATGGCGTTGGGAATTCATAATTAAATTCGCAATAAAATTATATCAGTTTCAACCTATGATTCAATTATCTTGATGCAAAAAATATACGTGGTATAATACAAACATTGAGTATACATACTAGAACAGTTTGTCATCGTGGCACGTGTAGAAATATCTTCCCGACAGAGTACAGGTTTGACGATGATAATTAATTATGTTTTCGTGGAGTATATACGAGGATTTATCGATGATCCTGATGGATACGATTATGTAAATATTTCGATGAAAATTATGAATAATTGATATTATTCAATGTGATTAGATATCTCTACACTTAACTGATCGATCAACGAGTGGATTGTAGAGTCATGCCGATTGGATACGATAAGATGTATTGCACAGCATGAAATGCATTATATAGCAGACGATATATGTGTATGTGTATGTGTATATATCTTGCATGATCAATATAAAAAAAAAGTACAAGAAATCACGATGATGTAAATTTCACATTATTCTTTTATACAACTTGCTGTAATAAACACTTCGCCTCCTCGTACAAGGAGTTGCTTGGCTTTAACGTTTCCCAGTCGTAATCCACATCCTCGTCATAGCTCGCGGTGTTATTTCTGCAACGGAATTTGATAGATACAAGAATGTTATACGAAGGTATATTGACGTGCAAATTTCCCACAACAATGTGACAAAATTCATTTATATAAAAAGTATGACTCACCTGTACAAAGAATCATCCACAGAATGGATTGCGCCGTTGCCCAAATCTTGCAGTAGTCGATTTCGCGCGAGCGCCGTATGCATTAGTGCGATATTATCGAGCAAGCACTCTCTGTGGTCTGTAAAGAAACGAAAGAAGAGAGTGGAATTTGCTATTTGTGCACAAGCCAACTCGTCACATTCTTAACGTGCAAAACACTCACCGTTCTTCTCGTATTTCTTGAGAAGTTTCTTCACGAAATCCTCGCCCGCATATTTCTGCGATATACCGATCCGATAAAAAATAGCTTTACATTGCCAGCGATTTTCCGCGGAGTCCTGAGTGGATGTGACCGTTCTTCTTGCTTGCGTTTCCTTCACGAGGCTCTCCCAGTCGACTCCCAAAGCGTCGCCCAGTCCCTTGCCGCTTGTCTTGATGTCCTCCTCCAACTCGCCGTCGGAAATCTCTTCGAAGTCCATAGTCTCCATATTATCGTCCTCCATATTCCTAAGATACACGATGATTGTATATAACATCTGAAGCACGAAGCCAACCACGTAATAATGCGATAATCATTTCGCCTTAGTGAAACGTAAATGATCGATCGATCATTTCGCTTGTCAATATTATTACTGTGTGCGTACTGTGTGTGACTCTACCAAGAGAAAATATAAATTTGACGAAAGAATATAAAATATAAAATCTGATACTTTACAATTCGTGCGATTTACCTCAATGACACCGTGTCGGTGTTATCCTTGGGCTTTGCATTGAAAATCGCTTCCTCCACGGGTTCCTTCGGCGACAGTTGAGCCGGCTCCTGCGCGGTCGACTGTGCGTGTGCAGCATCCGGTGCTTTTTTACTCGCCCGTGCTTTACCAGTTTCCATATCCTGTTGAAAGATTTCATAAAAGCATGCAAAATGCACTCGCAAATAAAGAGAGATAAACGCGCCGGTCAAAATATGTATACCGCGGTATCTTCTTCCATATTCAGTATATCGTCAGGATCATCGCTGATGTCACTCAGATCGCTCTCGGTGTGAAGAGTTTGCAAAGACTCGTCGGCGATGATGCGCTTGGGTGGTTCCGTCACCACGGGTTCCTTGATCTCGGGCTTCTCCTTCTGCGTGTTCTTCTTCTGGAAGTTGTCGGTGGACTTCTCTCTGGTCGTGCACAATTTACCCTCAGCGAGTTCCATCAACTTCTTGTTGATAGGTTCTTCCTTCATGCTGCCATAGATGGCAGCCTGCTTGGCGGACGGATGTATAGTCGGCTCCTCTCTTGTCTCGGGAGGATTATACGACCGTCTTTTACTGAAAGAAAATGAAATGGCAATTGGTGAAAATAACGTAAAATAACAACAGATAACCCTGTACAGCTTCGAAAAACTTTGAAATGAATATTATAAAAACTTCAGTCTCTTATATATATGCACGAAATTCTACAATATTCTACAATATTCGATTCCTTAACACATCTTTCTTCCAAGATCTATAAAGATATAAAGCCACAAAGTTACTTCATAATCACTTTTGCTTAATCTTATGTAAAACTACGCTACAACTTGAACGTTTACCTATGTTGCGTGGGCTCTCCGAGCTCCAGGTCCTTGGAGCGTTCGTTTCTGTAATGCGATCGTACGTGTACATTCTGATTATCCCATTTGCGCGTATCGCCGGACTTCCAGTCAGCAATTGAACCGTCGTAGCGGGAATTCCACTCGTCATCGTGTATCTCCGAGCGAGGAAGACTGTCCCTGCCTTCCCACAATGTTCTCGTACGCCATTCTCTCTCCTCCCATTCCACCGTCGGGTAGCCCCGGTCTCGACCGTGCTCCACGTCGCGATGATGACCTTCCCAATCATCATTGGAGACGCCTTCATCTCTAATTAACAAAAGGCAAAAGGATCCTTCAATATATGGTAAGTTTACTTGAAAAATGTTGCGGAACATAGGAAATCTTTTGATACATCAGAAATAAAGCGATAAAACAGTAAGCCGGAATTAATTCATGTTGATTGTTACCTAATGCTGGTGCCACTACTTCTCAACTTGTCACCAGCGTAGAGAGGATGACGATGATGATGGTGGTGATGCCGATGGTCATCAAAGGACGTTCGCTCAGTAGTCTGGATCACGTATCTCGATTCTCTGGATCTTTCGTCGCGAGCGACGCGTCTCTCCTCGAAAGGACTGTCATACCTCCTGCTGTCCACAGTCTTTCTCCTGTCCTCCTCATGAATATGAGCATGATCTCGGTATTCCACATGTGCGGACGATTCCTCCTGCTCCTCCCAGTGCTCCGACATCCTGCCATAGTTCCTGTTGAAGCCTCTGTCCAAGTCCACAGCTCGTCGCGGGCTAGTGGCATCTCGGCGGTCCACCATTCGGTCGATCTTACTAGCCACACGCTCGATCCGCGCCTGATCCTTCCGCTCAGACGCGTGTCCTCGCTCGTATCTCACGCCGAACCTTCTGTGCCTACTGTCCCTGTCGTAATTACTGCCGTCCACCATGTCCATAAGGTGATCGCGGGACGACGACGCGGCTCCGGGTGTCGCGGCTGCCGCCGACGAAGAGGACGAAGCCACGGGCACCGATGACGACAATGCCGCCGTCGACTGGACACCGCTCGACGATGTCGCGGGATGCGCGCTTTTGTCGTGCAGAGACGCTCGATCCAATGACGACTCCCGCGGGAAACGGTCCATGCGGTCCCTCGGCGAGTTCACGCTCGATTTGCGCGCCGACGTGTCCTTCTCCACGACGCCTCGCTCGTACCTACCGTCCAGCCGCTGCGTCGAGTTCCTTTCGCGCTCGGCGAGAGCCTTCGTTTCGGACCGCTCTCGCTCACGTTCGCTTCTACGCTCGCGCGCGCTGCCCTTCTCGAACGAGACGTCCTTACTCAACGGCCGCTCCTTCACGTTCCTGCTGTAGCGCGAGTTCTTGTCCGCTGATAGACTCAACGTCGATGACACTACCGTAGCTGGCACGTCCCTCTCCCGCGGCTTCATAGACTTCTCCCGTTCTCGGTCACGCTCTCGCTCCCGCTCTCGTTCTCTCTCGCGTTCCCGGTCGCGCTCCCGTTCGCGATCCCTGTCCCGGTCCCGGTCTCGTTCGCGTTCCCTCTCGCGATCTCGCTCCCGTTCGCGATCTCGCTCTCGTTGCCGCTCTCGACAACGCTCCTGGGACTCGTCTTTGTCCTTATCGCGCTGCGGCTCCCGTTGGTCGCGAGCCAACCTGGTCGAGTGACCGCGTTGCTCGTCCCTGGTTTCTTTTTCGCGGCGTTCGCGGCTCTTTTGCCGCGCCGTTTTCTCGCCAGTGGTATACGAAGACTTCTCGTCGAAGTCTTTGCTCACGTTCCTGCGGTAGCTCTCGTCCTGGGAGCTCGTCGTTGTCTGCTTCGCCTGCTTGCTTGAGTTCAGTTGCTCGTTCTTCCGTGCGTCCTCCCGTTCCTTGCTTTTGTCCTGTTTGTGCAAATCGCGCTCTTTCTTCTCCGTGTCCCTCGCGCGACTCGATGATGAGCCACCACCGCTGCCGCTTTGTTTCTCGAGATTCTTCGCCGGGGTAAGATCGCGTCTTGGTCGAGACGATTTGTCCGGCGTGCGGCTGCGACGAGTCTTCGACGTACCCTCTTTCATATGCTGATGTTTGTTGGACCGGTCTGAGGACGATGACGGCGGCGGTGTGCGCGAGCGGATGTTGTCCTTGTCCTTGCACTTGGATCTCAGCCGACCGTCGTCCGATTTCATCTTGTCGTCGATCGCGCGGTTCTTCTCCTTCTCCTGCTCCTTCGTCACTTTGTCGAAGGACTTGCACTTGGCCGCCGTGTCCTTGGATAAGCACTCGTCCACGTCGCGCACCTTCTTGTAATGCCTGCTGCCGTCCTCCTTGTCCATCTCCCTGGCACTCTTCAACGCCTTGGGTGATTCACTTCGGTTCCTCTCCCGGTTCTTGTTGGACGACGAAGATAACGCATGATGCGCCACGGATACCGACGAGCCTAATACTATGGTCGTGGTAGACGCTACCCCTCCGCTCACGGATCCTTGCTGCATCGCGGGTGATCTGGCGCGCAGTGAGGTCGAATGCTTCCTGGGCACAGAAGAGGACGAGCCATACTTCTTGATCGATCGCGTAGCGGGATCCTTCTTCGTAGAACTGCTCTCGAGCTTGCGTTTTTTCTTGTTTACAACTTTCTCGTTCTTTGCGCCCAGTCTTTTGAGTTTCAACCTACGGATTTGCAGATATATAATGCGAAATCCTGATATACACACACACATACACATATACACATATATATACATTCTACAATATTACAATTAATAAGTGACAAATTAACATAAATTGTGCCGACGTGACTAACATTTTATAATAGTATATTTTCCAAAGAAAAAAAAAACTATATACATATATTAAGTCATTAAGTATAAAATGCCCGATTTCGAATAAAAAGTTTGGTTTACTATATCTCAAACCAGAAATAGTAAAATTACTCAAAGTATGCGCCTAAAGTATCGACACAGTTCTGCCATCTTAACGGTAGCTCATGTCAGCAACGAAGAAGCCTGAAGAGCGAGTGACGATGAAATCGCGGAAGGCGTTTTCCACAGCTTGTTGAGAATTAAATATTTTTCCTTGCAAGAAGTGGTCCAGTGTCTGGAAGAAGTGGTAGTCAGTTGGTGCAAGGTCTAGTGAATATGGTGGGTGACAGAGAGTTTCCAAGTCCAGCTGCTGCAGTTTGAGCAACGTTGTTTGACCACGTGCGACATGTGGTCGAGCGTTGTCTTGCAAGAGGATTGACCTGTCTTTATTGACCAATCTCAGCTGCTTAATCGCAAGCATCATCATTTCGTCCAGTTGATTACAGTAGACATCCGCTGTAATCGATTGACCAGATTTCATGAAGCTCTAGTGGACAATACCAGCGCTAGACCATCAACAGACACCATTAGTTTTCTTTTGTGAATATTCGGTTTCGGACTGTGTTTCGGTATTCATCTATTCGGTATTTCATCTATATCCAAATATTGTGCCGACGCTTGCGATTGTGGAAAAGAATCCATTTTTCATCACACGTAATAATATGATGTAGAAATGGTTCGCCTTTATGTCGTGATAGTAAAGAAAGGCAATCTTTGAGACGATTTCTCTTCTGACGTTCGTTTAATTCATGCGGAACCCATTTATCCAGCTTCTTTACCTTGCCGATTTGTTTCAAGTGGTCCAATATCGTTGGAATAGTAACGTTAAACCTTGTTGCTAATTCACGCGTAGTTTGAGATGTATCCGGTTCCACTACTGAGCTTTCAGCTCATCATTATCCACCTTGGTCTCAGGTCGCTCACGTGGCTCACTTTCAAGATTAAAACCGCCAGAACGAAACTTCTCAAACCATCGACGTACTATGCGTTCATTAGCTACAACTTCACCAAACACTTCGTTGATATTTCGAGTTGTCTGTGCTGCATTGGTTCCACGACGGAACTCATATTCAAAAATAACACGAATTTTTAACTTATCCATAGTTACACAAAGATTATTGTAACAGACATTTTGAAAAATAATCATAAACCAAAATATGCGTTTGAAAGAATGATAATGTACCTTCACAAGAAGAAAAAGCCAAGAACTGTAAAGGTGAAATGTCCGATATATCGGCTGTCGAACGTAGTACTTAAGAAAATCGGACATTTCACATTTAACGACCTAATATATACATATGAAAGATGCCTTTTTCTACATTCATTTTTCAAAACATCTATTTCTTGTTTCATTTATATCATTTTTATATTTTATATATTATATCTATGCGTGTGTGAAAACTGTGAGAAATAACAGAATACATAATTTAAATGAATTGATTACATAAATGAATGATTGTGATTACACAAATAACTGATTACATAAATATATTGTGGCACATATAAAGTATATATAAAATATATACTGTGTTTGTAAGAAACACTTACTTTCTTTTCCTCTCCTTATCCTCGTTGTAATCGGTGGAGACGCTGTGATGTCGCTTGGTTTTAATTTTCTTGACTTTCTTTCGCGAATCCGATGTTGAGGTGGAGGATGAGTCTTCACTGCTGGAGCTGCTGCTACTGCTGGATGTACTCGAAGTGCGTGAACTAGAGGAAGTGCTCATTGCTTTTTTCTTTTGCCTCACTTTATCCTTGCCATGTACCTCCTTGTCCTTCTTCATTTGTAGCTCCAGTTCCCGTTGTAACAATTGCCGCCGTCTCTCCAATACCTTTTCGTCCTCGTATTCAAGATCTGTTTGATTCCACTCTTCTATGTTTAAGTCTGGACTATGTGATGCCTTCTTCACAATCTTAGATGTGAGTCGTTTGAAAGGATCCTCAATGAGCTGCAATATAAAGGATATTGAAAGTAGAATTTTTCTTTTTTTCACTTAGTCATTTATCATGTACTTCAACTTTTATTATTTCATGTACTTACTCCAGCTGTACTTGTGATTGCATTATCCTTCTTAGCACGCTTGGATGGACTTATCAATGTATGTGTATTTGCGTATCTAATTAACAAACAAAAAAAGTGTAAAATTACTAATATTGCTTAATATTCCACTATAAGCAAAAGTCAAATTCAATCTTATGTTATCATATTGTAAAACAAATAAAGCACAACAAATCAGACTTGATGGTTAAAATTCAGACAACTGTAATTTGTTGAAAACATCAAAACAAATGAGAATCTGAAACAGGTAAGTAATAGAAAAATATGATATTCTTATCTTCCATCTAGAATAATTTGTCATATTTTATTTTCTCTCAGTTACTCTAATTTCTCTTAGTTACTGTCTTCACTTTAAATAAACTAGATTTGAGTGCTTCTTTATGTAAAAATATCAAGTGTCTTAACAAATAATCAGTTAATAAGATAGTGTGTTTCGCCAGCAGCTGTGGTATGACATTTGCAAAGTACGAAGTTGGCACAGTCAATATATCATTTTAGAAACATTTATATAGCGGACCAACACTTCCAATCTTATCTTGGTACTGAAAATATGAAACTTTTTAAAAGATATTCTCAGTAATCGTAGAATTGTGACAAGTGTATGCCGCCAGAACAATCATGGTCTCTTTAAAAATTTTCCAGACGTGCGCTAGCTTCACAGGACAGATAGCCATGAGCAAGTAGTACAACTCACTTGCAACTCTTTCCGTACGAGCAACTGCCGTTGAGCGCCCAGTTTCTACAGTAATCCGATGTATTCTGAGGGGCTGCGGCTGCGGCGGCGGTCGCTGGTTTGGTGCCCAACCTCTCAAACACACTCGGCCGTCGAGAGTCTGTATTACATTTCGTAGGGTCAGCCGTTATCTTCCTTATGTTTGATTTTGACATATTATCACCATAAAACACTTATGTTTTCACAATGGAAGTGCATAACTGCGGCATGCAAACGTCCATTCGTCCCGTGCGGAATCGTCATGCAATGCGGGCTCGACGGCTACGCGCGGAGATAAATACCATCTCTCTTCCGCACGGAACTGCACTGCAAACTCGCCCGGATACTCGCTCGCTGCTGCAATGCTCCCGGATGCAGTGTCGCTAGACGAGAAGCTGCTTTACGCACGCGCCCTACGCTTGAGAGGGAATCCTGCGAAATTTCTCAAGAGGTTTCCGGACCGAGTAGCTGGGAGATTTTTCTACACGCTCAACAGATGAAGCACTCTTCCCTTTTTCAGCTTGATATCTCGCCGAAGCTGCACTCCATTTCAACACACATCCCATACGACACATTGCTTTGATCTGTTCTTTATAGCTGCACTGCTGAACTAGTGCAATAAGTTAGAATGAGAAAAAATATAGTTGTCTCATTTTAACTTGTTGCACTAGTTCAGCAGTGCAGCTATAAAGAACAGACTCCTTGTATGTGCCGGGTCTCAGCACGAGAGATGTCATCTATAGGCGAAAATGTGAACTACATAACTCATATCCATGTACTTGTCCAGTAGATAATACACGGGACATTTTATTACATTTGACATTTTGTTCCATAAAAGTATTACGAAATTCACGTAACTTACAAATGTAACTTTCTTTTAGCTGTCACATCGTGATAACTATTTGTCATGGATGTGTGTGTGTGTGTAGTTAATTCTGAAAAATAGATTTTTTAGTAAAAGAGAATATAGATTTAAAGTGAGCCACACAGCAGAAATATTCAAAATACATCACAGGGATATTCTAAGAATATCTTCAATATCTTCAGAATATCCCTATGATACACTTTGAATATTTCTGCTGTGTGGGGAGGATGTAATTTTCCAGACGATGATTTGTTTAATGGGGCAAGAAAAAGGATATCATAATTCAAATTCCTGCGATTATTCCTGCAGAAATTGTTTCATAAACGCACATATTCATAGGATAATTTAGCTTCATACGGAAAATTGAAAACAATATTGAGACGCAAAATGTATGTAACCATCTGCCACTGTTGTATGCATATTTGGTGAGAAAAGTATGCGAAAATCACGAATGAACCAACGTCACAGTGAATCATATGATTTGAATCAGTATGATCAATCGGATAAATGATGACTAATAATTTGCGATATAGTGTACCAGATACAGCCGTGTCTTCACTAGCTAAGATTTGTGTATGTGTATGTGTATATCTGTACATGTGTACACCATATATACATATTACGTGCCCATGCATATACATGTGCATACGCACGCACACACACAACAAAATTCATTATATAAAAACTTATATATGTATAATTTACATATGCGTATATAGAAATCCTTTATATAATTATTCACGAAATAATGCGATTATTATCCAAAAGAAACCTACTTTCGCATTTCTTTTTTTTTATTTTTAAGTAGATAATTTGTACAGCGAAAATATTACTTATTCAAAACTAAAATCATGTGTATATGTGTATGATCTTAATTTATAGAGACACGAAATTAACTCAGCGATGTTTAGATTCTATCAATACTGCGACTTGCACAATTATAATTTCAAGTCAGTTTATTGGTGATTCAGCGTTGACGTTGAGCTTCCTTTTGCGGCAAAAACCAAAAACATAACAATGGATCAAATGCTTGAGGATTTGGTTTATTTTTCGACTCTTATGAAACTATACAACATCGTAGCATTAGAAGCGTTCTTGTTCTTCATGGCTTCTCATGTTGTCCACGTGTCTAATTCGATGTTATGAGATTGATTAGATGTCGGAATCCACGTGGGTATGTCATCTTCTTAATTTTCTTCACAACGCATATTTATTGCGATGAGAACCATGTCAGCTTATTGCAGGCGGATAACTTTTAACAAGTGATAAATTCATCAACTTTCCAACTTTCAATACTGTTCAATTATCATTGACGATATCACGGGATTCCAACGATATTTCATTATGAGACATCAGCGAATTATTGCTTGATATCTCTGACAATTTTAACCTTTTCCTCCGGACTCTCCAAGAACGAAGATTTATGCTTGCGCGACTTATCATATCCTTATTTATAAACACCGAACATGAGATCCGAGAACGGAATTGAAACACGTCTGCCATAACTTTCGTACATTGTAGAGTCTTTTACGCTGCCATCGGAAGGCAGTTTGTCGCAGGTAACTAGCGCGTTTGAGGTTTTCGCTGATTCTTACTCTTACTTTCAGATTGTACATCTCTAAAAGCCTTATGCGCGCTATTTTTTCTTTTTTTTATTAGAATAAAAATGACAGTTCAATCGATTTTACATTTTGACGAAATGATCGTTCAATCACGTTCACGTTACTTCTTCAATTCAACTACAGCACAATTAATTTTGGAAAATGCGTTCGCACGCGCTTTGAGACTTTTACACAGCGGTTATCTATTTACAGCCAACAATAAAGCGCCAATTTCCAAGTTGATAACGATTCTCGCGATTGAAACACCAAGCATACGGACGAACGCACGTGTCATCATGAACCAACGGTATTAAGACGGTAAAAGTAAACTTCTACCATCGAACCACCAAATATACCAAAAGTAAACTACCATCGAAATAACCATACGCGGCGGTTTGTACAAAGGTGATAATGTTACATATTTGGAGAAATAATTTTCTGATTACACGCAATACATTTCACTGCTCACTCGTGATTACAATATCGGAATGACGACGTCTTGTGCTCTAACACTGCTATTACATCGTTGACTACTTCAAATGTTGCACACGATAAATCAAATTTCCACGTTTAATCCGCATAACAATAAATTAGACTGCATAACGATTTGATAAAGATTATACGATATCTGTATATTCATATATATATATATAAAATTTATATATATATATAATTTATATATACATACAATTTATATATATATATAATTTATATATATATATATAATTTATACATATATATATATAATTTATACATATATATATATATATATGAAGATACATTACATATAATTACATGACTATCTCCATTTCTCTCGCAGTAACTATAACCTGCACTTGATGCAACTTTACATACAAAAATCGATTAAAAAAATATTAGTACGAATATGTAGATTAACATTTTGCATATTTAAAATATATGTATATATATATATTTATATATTAGTAATTAGCAAAATATAATTACTTAACCGTGGCCTATGATCGTTTTAAATATATATGGACGCAGATGTAACGTTTTGCACAGCTACATTCGTCCTCCCGTCTAAAATTCTCTAAAGCGGTAACAATCGTCATGCCACGTTCATAATCTTTCCATTTATTACTTAATTCAAATATACACACATATATTTATATACATATACACATACATATACACACATATATATACATACATATATATATACATGCATATATATATACAAATATAATAAAAGTAGGTACAGCGTTTCGTTCTGAGGTAGATTGAGTCAGCAAACAGCAAACAACTATATAATTCAAAGCTCGTTTCTAGGTGCAGCTATGCACATTTCTAGATTTTTGTTTTTATTACTACGCTTAAAATTACATCGTCGTCGAAATATTAAAAAGAAAAAGAAACATTAATGTGGGTCAATATTATCGCATGTAATCAGTAATTTCGAAACCTTGATCTTTGTTAAAATCATGAGTGTACGTGATAAACAATTACGAAAGAGAAAAATGCAATATAATCGCATTCACTCGACACTTGCGCATAGCATGTTCTTTTAATCGTTCTCGGAGAGAAAGCTTCGTTGATATACTCTTTTATCGTTAGTTAAAATCAAAATATGTGCATCATTAATCGATAATAAATACCGATAACATCTAGTAGTCCGTTGTAATCGTTAAGTGACATGCAACATTTACTTTCCTTGCACTTTCATGACAACATATAATCGCGTGTTAAATTTCTCAAAAAGTATAAGAAATACAAATCTGCAGCTAATATATCGTTAGTTAGCTGCAAATTATATATATATATAAAAAAAAAGAAATATACTTATTATTCGTACAAGAGAAACATTACTGAAAGCTATCGTGATGTATGAAAATTGTTATATACAGTTTCACCAATGTATGTATAGTAACAAACACAAAAATGCAGACATTTTTATTAAAAAAGAAAGAAAAGAAAACCTGACGATATACTAATCCAGTTAAATGAATGCATAAATCAAGGTTTCGTTTCTTCTACAAATAACGTACGCGAGGATATCGGTTAATTATACATTAACCAATAAGTTAAAATTAACTTAACCATAAGTCTGTTTCTAGCGTTCAGATGATAAATTTACAGATAAAGCATTATTTTATATGTATATGTTCATACATAAACCGGTTTTTCTTATTCTGTTATATACACACGCTTTGACATACAAAGAAAAGGTTTCTCTATGTAAAATTAAATATCTTCGAGTCCACCATCATGAACACCGGCTCTAACTTTATCCAACACCCTGTTCACAAATTCTGTTGAATGGTTTGCTATTCGTATTTCTGTAATCAAAATTCACGCATATATCTTACGATTAATATCAGTATATATGTATCTTGCATATAGATTAGAATATTTGAAATAAAATATTTTGTTTTAAATTATAACAAAATTTGGCAGCATTTTCTATCATACGCAAAGTTGAATATAGAAATGAAGTTAAAAGAGAGAGAGAGAGAGAGAGAGAGAGAGAGAGAAAGAGAGAGAGAGAGAGAGAGAAAGAAGTATACTCACTAGTAGCCACTTTGCAACATTTTTCTAATTGTCGTGTAATCTCCTCCTGACTTTCGGGATTAAGAGGTTCGGTTGCTTTCACAGAAAGTATGTTTTTAACCTGCGATATGCCCTGAATAAGACGTTCTAAAAAAACAAGATTATCTCTGTTTCTCAATACGACGATATGGATGAAATATTCTATTAAATATTTTAATATCTACACTTACACACACGCGCGACTTTAATGGCAGAGCTTTGCGTTTAGCTAAGCTATCGCAAAGCAAAAGAATCGAATAAAATATAAATAAAATGTTTACTCAACTGTGCTCTTGTTCAAGTCCATGCAGCTTAATTTTATTAGCTTCATGTTGAGCCTTTTTCTTTAAGCGACACGCCCGCGAGGCTAATTTATTTTTTTCTTTTCGTGTTTTCGGTCTTGCTGTGAATGGTAATTCTGAAACAGGCGTCATGTCATTTATAATACGGGTGAGCTTATCCAACTCCCTTCCAATATTATGAAGCTTGCGAGGATTCGGCGTAAGATCGTTTCCATCGCCTTTCCGTGCTTTTCCGCTATGTTTAATTCCTCTGAGAGCACAATGTGGACTAAATACCGGATCAGTTGCTTCGTTTAAGACATGCGGATCTTCTAAACGTGCTCTAGCGATCAGTCGTTGTCCCTTTGGTCCCTTCGCTTGTACATTATACTGCCAGAAGAATCTCTCTTTTTTACTGTGTCTACTCTCCCTTCCTAATTCTGCAGTATCCATTCTGTTGTTACTCTGCTCTTCACCATCACTCCCACCTGAATCTGATAAGAGAACAATCATTGTAACAACTGCAATAATGGTTCAATAATTATAACTGTAATTATAATGTTATATACTAGTGATATTGTTACTATAATAATAGTAATTGTAAAATTGTAACTTAAGTCCTACTTTAAATTGCAAGATATATTTCATATATGAGGTCAAGAATAAATTATTTTTGGACTGCGTATCTCAATTGAAACCCAAAAATGAACATTGAATCTTTTCTCTTCAACATATACGTATAAACATATTCGGATATATTAAAATATATAAAAAGTACTACTAAATATATTAATACTACTAAACATATAAATACCATTATCACTGCTATAGTCATCATAATGGTCACTATCATCATCACTATCTTCGTAATCTTCATCTTGATTGAATGGATCAAGATGACCAAGTGGATCTGGACTTAATGCACCTCCTGTGCTCAGACTACTTGTCGAACCTGCCTCCACCAGACTACTGGTACTCAGAAGGTGCTGTCGTGGTTCTCTGTGAGCCCAGATTTGGTCTAGAGCCATTGTCTGTGTAGGTGCAGACATAGAGAGTCTTGAAACCTTAGATTGTCCACCTGCTGGAGAGATACTATCTGCCTGATTGGATACTGGGTTAGTGAATGGATTTTCACATCTTCTTAGAAGTAACTCATGTAAAGTAGATGACCCAACTGGCCGTGCTACATGATGTGGGGAAGTCGAAGAACTCGCTGTTGAACTACCTATAATAATATATGAATCAGTTAGCACTATTGCTAACTTACTTATTATTATTATCCTACTTCTTTAGGATAAACAGCAAACTTCTCCCACAAATAATAAATGTAACTTATAGGCCAATTTTTATATTTGCAAAAATATAATGTTACTATTTTCATTAATACTACTAACATTTTTTAATCAATATCATGCACTCAGAAGTTTCACACTTATTTTATTATTATTAAGAAGTAAAATATATTTCTTTAAATGTACCTGCAATATTGCTAGTTCCTGGACTAGGAAACGCAGTGGGACTAACAGCTTCCACATTGTCCACAATATTGGAACCTTTATTTAAATTAAATCCATACGTATTTGTATATGTAGGGCAACTACGGAAAGTTAATCCAGACTGAGGAAAACTACTAGGTGCAAATCCTACATCGCTACTAGTAAACAGAGAGCCAGTGGATGACGGAGCATTTGCTTCTACTTTGATTGGTGGTACCCTTTCTTCCGGTAGCAGCAAATCATCAAAATTTAAATCTCCCAACAGAGTATCATCATTGGCGTTCAATTCGGCCAGAGTAGGGCCTTGGATGAGTTCGGCCTTGTCCACTTGGAATATATCATCGTCATCCATCCTAAACGAGATGTCCAGTTGATCTGGATCAATCTTAAAGGGCGATTCCATGTGTTCTGCCCTCATGGTCCATCCAGAGGTAGCCGTCAGAGGTGAGGGCGAGAACTGATCGTACACTCCACGTGTACCTCTGTGTCCACCAGGGATCGGTACTGATGCCGAAGCTGCACCCATCTCCTGGACAGGTTCCTGCTTCACTATGCCATCCATGGTGTTGAACCTGTCCAGCGAGAAGTCGCTGTACTTGGAGTTATCCATTAGCAAGGGGACACTTCGTACAAAGATCGTGTGACAATGTAGAGCGCTCTAATTGCTATACTACAAATCAAATTCTCTACAAGGAAAATATATGTGAAAGTTCGCCCAGACAAAAAGTAACCCAACATGCGCGCGGAAAGGAACGATATTTGCGATATTTGTGCATGCACGCGGTGTGTTTTGTATGTGTGTACCGTGATATATCGTTGATCCCGAAAACCCGATCAATCTCACCGCGCGCGTTGTTTATTATTACTGCGAGAAAATTCCCGCGAATCTGACGGCTCGATCGCGGGGAGAAGGGAGTGGGAGAGGGAGAGAGAAAGAGAGAAACGTACGTACGCACGCAGAGGACGATGAAACGCACGCGGGTCGTCTATCGTGCACGAGGTTCTATGCCAATCACGAGGCACGAGACTCTGATTTTGACTCGTCCGTGTGACTCGATCGATTCGCTGCGAATATCGATGGTTTTGCAAAGCTGCCGGGGAGGAAACGTGAACGAACAAGCGCCCGAATACTCTCTCGTTCGGTAGTTCTGCGCGTCTTATTCGACAACGAGTCACTCTCGCTCCTCTTCCTTCCTTTCCTCTCTCTCTCTCTCTCTCTCCTCTTCTGTGTGCGAATGTCTATCCTTTTCGGATTTCACAATAAGGAACCGTCTCTCCTTGGCGCTTCTTCGCGCAAATCTCAATCACAGAACAACGGCACCAAATCACATATTGGCTCAGCGTGCACCTCGCACGCACTGCACGCACCGCGACCGTAGCTTTCGTTAGCGGGCATTTTCCGTGGCTGACATCGCTCGTCTCACGAGCGCACACGAGACTTGGAGATCACGACAAGATTGGGTTTCACTTTCCGCCACCGCAGTCGCGTCGGCTCGCCTCGCGGATTCACTCTGTCCGTCCGTCCGACCGATCGACCGACCGTCCGACCGACCGACCGACCGATCGACCGTCCGTCCGTCCGTCCGTCCGTTCGTCCGACGACGACGAGATTTGTGACAATTTATGGAGAATTTGAGCGTGGATCCGCGATCCGACTGCGACTTCGCCGCGTGCGTGACACCACGAAATTCTGTTGCGGATGGAGAGAGAACTGTGCGAGATGACGTGCGCGGCACGACGTGTGTGATGTTTGTTATTGTTTTGCCACGAGACCGTGAGGCCAAGTATCGGTGATGTTTGCATAAATAGGAAAGGGTCACATGACACATCACACGAAATAACAAGCCAGTCACTCCGCGCCGACCAATCACATGCTGCCGTTTCCTGAGTGCCGCACTTTTTTGCCCGATGTAACTTGGCGAGAATTTTCATTCTAATATTGTTGCCTCGCGCGCCCGCGTGTGCACATACATACATGTGTGTGTTATTTTTCTTCCTGGTGTTACATGTGTGTGTGCGTGTGTAGGGGAGGCACTTTCGCGCGCGGAAATGCCGCAGTCCGATTTCAAGGACATGGTTTGTCGGATACAGCACAGACATCATTGTGTGTGCGTGTGCGCGCTCGCGCGCGCGTGATTCATGAAGTCTCTTTCCTCTTGTCACGCGTTCGATCGACATGCAAATAAGACTTGCGATTCTATTGTTGGATCGCTCGTAAGTGCTTGTGATGATGTCTCTTTGAGTTCGTTTCTCTAGGAATGAAATAAACGATCAACACAACCATCTGCTAACATCATACTTCATGACAACTTAATGCTGTCTTAGATCGCACTGACAAGGAAACCGTCAAAACTGTCCCTCACTGATTTTGTAGTGTATTAAAAAATACTAGACCCATATTTTTTTAACAGCTCTCTCAGCGTTTCTCAACATTTAAGGATAGAAACGACCCCTCGAAGAAAACAGATATTTTCATTTCTTGCAAATATTTCCTAAACTACGAGCTATGTGAAAAAATGTTTCATACAAAAATTGTATAATAATTTATACTTTTTGAAACGGTTAATTCAAATTTTAAAAAAATGCAAAATTTTTAATACTCCCTTTCCTCTTGTTACCATTGCAAATTTTTAAATTTTTATGAGGATAGAAATTGAAGAGCATTGAATATCATATTTATTCATATACATAATATTGGAAAGTAATCAATTAAATTTTTGAAAAACTACATAATGTACTATAAGCGTTACGCTGTGCGAGTAGTTTTTCATATTTTCTCATACTACAAGATGAAAGCAAAGTAACCCTAATGGTATGATATGTAACGTATAAAGGTCTTTGCACAACGTCAAACAACAGGCAATAAGAACAAGCAATAGAAAAAAGAAATAAGAAATTATCGGCATCGATGCACAGTGATGCTATGGAGATAAAAACCATACAATCAGAACGTTTGAATTATATCGGCTGCGTAGTATTCATAGTTGGGCTGCGTTCCGATATTTACTAATAGTACTGAAAATCTATAGTATATGTGATACAAGCTCACTGAAATATATACTAACTGGAACGAGCGTTGGCGTACGATTCTATTATTTGCATGCGAATAGAGAGAGAGGTTCCCTGGTTCCTCTCTTATCCTTATCTGACCCACAGTGTCGTCAAGAGTGGGGATAATGAGGTACAGTCAATGAAAAAGTTAGTCGCTGAAAGTAAAGAGTGAAAGAATGAAAAAGTGAAAAAAGAGCGAGAAATTATAAAAGTTATAAAAAGATTGTAGGTAGAAAATTAAAAAAAAATAGCATTTGTAATGTCAAACGGACCCTGCTTATAGATATGTATATAGAAACCAATTTAGCTTTTGATTCGGACTGTACTAGATAAAGACACAGTGCTATTTTAGAGACCCAGTGACGCTCTCTCTCTCTCTCTCTTTCTCTATTCGCGCCTCAGGCCTAGCGCTCGTTCCAGTTAGCATATATTTCAGTGTACAAGCTATATATTTTCGGTACCGGGCTGCGTTCGGAAACGTCTCTCGGATGCATCTGCTGCGTTGGTGTGAGAGAGACATATGGGCCCTGACTCGCGAAAATTTGAGAAAAATATCATATACGATATTTCATCAATGGGGCGATTTAACTAGCTGAAAACTATGATATTTAGTGATATTCGTGAAACATCGTATGCAAAATTTTTCAAGAATACGGGCTATGGTCTGTTCTTTTTAGCTGCACTGCGGAACTAGTGCAATAAGTTAGAATGAGACAACTATATTTTTTCTTACTTTAATTTATTGCACCAGTTCGGTAGTGCAGCTAAAAAGAACAAACCAATAAAAATGAGATAAAGAAAGAGAGAGAGAGTATCCGAGTGACGTTTTCGAACGCAGCCCTGGTAGTAAATATCGGAAAGCCTGGAAATATCAGATTACGGATTGGGATTGAGTATTGGATTGAAATTTAACCAATCAGGACTAAATTTACTATATTTGAGATTATTTTTTCTTCCAGTTGGTCAAATTTCAATCCAATCTCAACCCCAAATCATAATCTAATACGGGCTGAACGTAGCCTTGATGTAGTCAAACATAATCCAAAAGTAACACATAATTTTTAGTTCTTTTTATATTTTGGATTTATGCTATAAATTAAATACTATTATATATTAAGGCTTATATATATGTATATGTTTATACTGTATATGGTTTTATTAATATAATAATATGTTCATTGACTTCCTTTGTAGGTCGTTAGCTATGGATGACAAAAACATGTTGCTATTTCTCAGTACAATGTAAATAGCTAGCCTAGCATTGGCCGCGTTCAGCAGACAAAGCTGCTTATTAAGCGCCTAGTGATTATTAACTATGATTGGAGTACTCTTTTAGATCTTTAACGAATCCAAGGGAATGAACCAATCAGGAACAATAATCACTAAGCGCTTAGTAAGCAGCTATTTCTACTGAACGCGGCCATTGGCTGCATTCAGCAGAATTCAGCGCTTTGTAAACGGTTTAGTGATACATTACAACAGTTTGGATGTTCTGCTGAACGCTCTTTGTACTTGTCAGAGTGATACATATACAGTGTCTACCAAAAGTTCCGGGCCACTTAAATAATTTTTGAATAGTTTGAAATGTAGGATTGAAATTTATAGGGATACAATGGGATCACAAAGTCTATTATTTAACCACAAAAACACCCACCTTCACACTCCTGGGGGAGGGGGAGCTAAAAAATCTTAAATGACATGTGGGATTGAATGAGGGCTCCATAAACATATAATATATAGACTGCGCATTCGCAACGTTTCCTTTGTTTGCACATGTTCAATATTAGAAAAAGGTAGCATGCTTTCCTGGAGCAGTCTGTCTCTTTCTAACGATGCGTGGTGAGGTATTTGGTCCCTCCGCCTGTTTAGAGTGGAGTGTTATGTCTCCGATTCTTCTTTTCGTGAAACAAAGCGTATGTAAACAAGACGATTGACATTAAAGATTATAAAACGTATTTATTCATAATAGTATAATCATAACACAAAAAGTATAATCGTAACACAATGAGTCTATATTGTTGTGTATGCCGCAGGAATGCATATAAAAGTGACAAACAGATTATTTTCCACCGGTATGTAATTATACCCATCGTCATATGTCCATATTCATCATTTTTCCATACAAAATCGTCATTTTTCCATATGCGTCATTTTTCCATATTTATATCAGACGTATTTTCTTCTCTTTGCCACAATTCCCCTTTCTCTATATTCTCCTACTTCTGTTTCCCCTGTCACGGAAGACTGCTTTACCCTTACCACGCATCGTTAGAAAGCGATAGATTGCTCAACGAAAGCATGTTGTCTCTTTCGAATATAGAACGCCCCCTCCGCTGAACGCGCGGTTTATTTATTATACGTCTATGGAGGGCTCGTTCGAAAGGGCTTTGCGAGACGAAAACAATGTGAGGTCGCCGAGGTCTCTACAATTTTTTTTGCAGAGTTATGATCATTTGAACATTTCTATTGAGATTTTGCGATAGCGAGGGCCCTCGGCGACAACAGAAAAAAGATAAGGCTTCACGCGGGCACGTGCGTTCCTGAGTTTGTGTATGTGTGAGGGGGAGGGTCCTTATCTTTGTTGACATACACACACACATACATTCAGGAATGCGCGTGCCCGTGTGAAGCCTTATCTTTCTTCTGTTGTCGCCGTGGGCCCTCGCTATCGCAAAATCTCAATAGAAATGTTCAAATGATCATAACTCTGCGAAAAAAAAATCGTAGAGACCTCGGCGACTTTGCGTTGTTTTCGTCTCGGAAAGCCCTTTCGAACGAGCCCTCACTCAACCCCATATACCATTTAAGATTTTTTGGTTTCCCCTCCTCCAGGGGTGTGGAGGTGGGTGTTTTTGTGGTTAAATAATAGACTTTGTGATCCCATTGTATCCCTATAAATTTCAATCCTACATTTCAAACCATTCAAAAATTATTTAGATGGCCCAGAACTTTTGATAGGCACTGTATATATATTTGTAAACATCGAATTAACCTTTCATTACTTGCTGTAAAATAGTTCTACATGCATTTTTATTATTCAGCTGTTATATTTTATACACTTATTACATTAAAAAAGATCTATATAAAATTTGAAACGTTTCTTCTTATTTTTGCTGTGTGGCTTTATTCTAACCTATACATTATCTATAATTTGCATTAATATATTTTGATGTGAGTATAATTATATATTTCATTATTAAATTATTTATACATATCTTTTTCTAATTGCTCATGCACTTCTATAGAATCTACATTATATATAACGTCTTTATATGTGTATTACGCTTCACATAAATTGGGAGCATCCATCTTGCTCAACATGTTGTGCTTAGATTCAGCTTACTTTTAGTTCGCTGAAAAACATGGCGACCGCTGAGTGAACATGTTGAACCGCTGAGTCTGTTTAATACCGTTGAGAAGAAAATCATAAAACGGTTTTGCAACTGTTCTGCTGAACGCAGCCATTGTATACCGCATGGAAAGCAAAAAAATCGTTCATATATTCTTCTTCTTCTCTGTCCTCCCAAGGGGAGTCCCACTGAATTGCAATGATCAAACATTGTATGATACAGGGTGTCTCATTTTAATGTCTCACCCCAAATAACTCTTCAGTATTGAAGTTTCAAGGACAATGATTTGAATAAAAGTTGTAGGGATTTAAGTGAGCTACCTTATAATGACCTTGACCTCTATTTTCAAGGTCATTTGAAGGCTAACTTGCATTTTTTAAGTGGGAACCCTTATTTTTTATTACACTGTTTTTTTCTATTAGTTAATTTGAACAACTTTTGTCTAAAATATTTTTTTATTTGTCTAGTATTTTTTGAGATATTTGAGGAAAACTTGATAACTTTTTCAATATTTAACTTACGATATCTCGCTAATTATTTGTCGGAAGAGAAAGTGGTACTAGACTTTCTTGCTTTATTTAGTTTCAAGAATATATTGTTACAATAGCGCCCTGATTTTTGTTAATTTGATCATTTTGAAATTTCCAAAAATCAGTAAGTTAACAAAAGTCAAGGCGCTATTGTAACAAGATATTCTTGAGACTAAATAAAGTAAGAAAGTCTAGTACCACTTTTTCTTCCGACAAATAATTAGCGAGATATCGTAAGTTAAATATTGAAAAAGTTATCAAGTTTTCCTCAAATATCTCAAAAAATATTAGACAAATAAAAAAATATTTTAGACAAAAATTGTTCAAATTAACTAGTAGAAAAAGATAGTATAATAAAAAAATAAAGGTGCCCATTTAAAAAACGCAAGTTGACCTTCAAATGACCTTGAAAATAGAGGTCAAGGTCAAAGTTAAGGTCATCATAAGGTAACTCACTTAAACCCCTACAATTTTTATTGAAATAATTTTCCTTGAAACTTTAATACTGAAGAGTTATTTGGGGTGGGACATTAAAATGAGACATCCTGTATAAATAGAATTCAATTGTTAGTTCTTCTTTTATAAAATTCGATTTGTACATACATGTACAAATACGCACCATACAATTCATAAATTTAACTTTAACAATCCGAACGCTGTGATTGGTTGACAACAGGCAATAGAAATAAAATTTCCAACGTGACGAAAATTCTGTGTCTATTACCTGTGCCATGGTTCATTCTGCATTGATGCATGAGGTCTATTCTTTATAGCTGCACTGCTGAACTAGTGCAATAAGTTAGAGTAAGAAAAAATAGTTTTCTCACTTTAACTTATTGCCCTAGTTCCGCAGTGCAGCTAAAGAGAACCAAAGGTTGCGCATGTGCAGTTCATTTTTAGCAATATTAACATCAAAGATGCCGACCAAGGTCCGTAAATAGAGGAACAGAACAAGGTTCCTCATCCATTTCACACGGTTTGGCTCGAAAATGGCGGCGACTGTGGTTCAACTGATTAATCACATACCGTCATGTCAAAAATTATTTTCGTGTTTCGCAATTTCTTGTACTACAGCCGGTATTGCAATTATTTTTCTTCTGAAAATTCTCGCTGGTATTTTGGAATGTGTTTAAACTATGTTTTCATTACTTTTGATTACATCTTAAACTATGTTTTGATTACCCTGTTCACTCACACAACTAAACCATAAGGGCAAGAGCACAGGCTTTTACATAACACATAATATATAACGCATAAGAGAATAAACCAATTAGTTTTCTTCATTTCCCTCCTCAGGACAGAAATAAAGAACTCTGATTGGTTGATTCTCTTATACGTTGTGTATTATGCGTTATGCAGAAGTCTGTGTTCTGGCCCTAATACTATACGTACAGTCGCGGACATAATAATGAGTGCCCGTTTTTTTGCAACTTTCGGAACGCATCCCGACTCGAGAAGAATGAAAATCACTGTTCCGCCTACGGAGCACGCCTGCGCAGTGACTCACAACGAAAGGCGAGAAATGAAATATACGGTGGGACATATTATAATAATACAGACTCAGATAAAATGAATACTCCAGCATTAAATGGAAATGAGGGAACACAGGACAGACAAGAATCATCCGATGTAAGTCTTATACTCCGGACATCCGAAAAAGGTAGAGATAAATAAACATGTTTATGTTTTTAAAACAATACGAACTTAATTAAGAGAATTAAGCTGCATTACGATAGTTACGATTCTGTTATACATTTATATATAATTTATTGTTGTCAACAACAGCCATCTTCTATAGCAGAAGCAATGATATTAGATACAGAAACAGCTGTTATAGCGAATTTTGAATTTTTAGGACATACAGACATGGACATGGAAGAGGAAGAAGGAGATGGAGAGGATGAAATTTATGATGCAAATACAGATACCAAACCAAATAAAGTAACGTTTACTATCATCTTGCGTTTTAATAATATTGTTCACGCTATTTGTTAACATAATTTCTTATTTTTCAGGCATAAATAATAAATCACATATAAATATATAACAGAATCGTAGCTATCGTAATGCAGCTTAATTCTCTTAATTAAGTTCGTATTGTTTTAAAAACATAAACATGTTTATTTATCTCTATCTTTTTCGGATGTCCCCCGGAATATAAGACTTACATCGGATGATTTTTGTCTGTTCTATGTTCCCTTATTTCCATTTAATGCTGGAGTATTCATTTCATCTGAATCTGTATTATTATAATATGTCCCACCGCGTATATTTCATTTCTCGCCTTTCTTTGTGAGTTACTGCGCAGGCGTGCTCCGCAGGCGGAGCAATGACTCTCATTTTTCTCGAGTCGGGATGCGTTCCGAAAGTTGCAAAAAAACGGGCACTCATTATTATGTTCGCGACATAGTTGGTCTGTTCTTTTCAGCTGCATTGCGGAACTAGTGCAATAAGTTAGAATGAGACAACTATATCTTTTCTCACTTTAACTTATTACACCAGTTCAGTAGTGCAGCTAAAAAGAACAGACCAAGTATCACGTACACCAACATAGATTCTCTAGCTCGAAAATAGCGGCTGTGAGAAGACCATAGATATAGTATATCTAGACTGCGCGTTCTCCCAAATTTCAAAAATGGAGGTATAACTCTCGTAGAAAAGGAAGCATTCTGTTTTTACTGTTCGTTCTTTCTCGCACAATCCCGATGGAAGGGGAATAGGGGCGGTGGTTACTGTACAGCAGTGTACAGCAATTGCCTTCTCTACACCCCTTTCATCGGGACTGTGCGAGAGAGAACGAACAGTAAAAACAGAGTATATCCTTTTCTATGTGAGCTATATCCCCACTCCTCGCACACGCAGTCAAGATATACTATGTTTATGGTGCAGACAGAGAAGCTGTGTTCCAATATTCACTATCAGCACTGAAAACCTATAGTATAGGTATAGTATAGTATATGTGACATAAACTATGTATTTTCAATACTGGCAGTGAATATCGGAACGCAACCAGAGTATCGTTACTGGATATATTTGTGGTCTATTCTTTTTAGCTGCACTACTGAACTGGTGCAATAAGTTAAAATGAGAAAAAATATAGTCTCATTCTAACTTATTGCATTAGTTCCGCAGTACAGTTAAAAAGAACAGACCATTGGTCTGTTCTTTTCTTCTGCACCGCTGCACTAAGTGCAGGCGCAATGAGTTAAAGTGAAACAAATATATACTTGTCTCACTCGAACTCATTGCACTAGTACAATGGTGCAGAGGAAAAGAACAGATTTACTAGCTGCGTTCCAGTATTCACTGCTAATGTGAAGATATATAGTTTATGTCACATATACTATAGAGTTTCAGTGCTGGCAGTGAATATCGGAACGCACCTATTGTGACCGTACCCTGAGTACCGATTTCCGTCGAAATTGGCTGCGTTCAGGAAATAAAATACTCAGTAAGCAATTAATGATTATTGTTTTTTACTGTTAAATCCTTACATTTAGACCAAAAACGTTGACGAATTACTCAATTGTGCTCCGTTGTGTTTTCTGAACATAGCCATTGGTTCTTGCAGCTGCAGATCTGTCCAATGAGATGGTCCTATGTGTTAGCGCGCGCAACTTTTGCTGACGTCTAAATTTAAAATTGTGAGGAGGGAGCAACATGCTTGCCACTTCCGTCACTTCTTATTCTTGAGGCTCGTGGATCCCATGGATCATTGTGTGCAGTGAACGCAAATAAATTTCGACATTTTTACCCATGTATCTTGAAGTATTCTCGCGAGCTTGCTTTTTGTAAGAATCACTGTCTCATTTGTCTAAAATCATCGAATTTTGAAGTATTTTCTAAGAAAATAGAAATATTTCTTATTGGCCGTTATAACGAATTTTTCGGTTGAGTTTAAGTCGGTCATTGTCTTTGTTCGTAACAAAACTGCATAAATTGTGTATCGCGTTATTTTTTATAGAACTACCTCTGCTTCTGTGTTATTTCCTGTTACTTATAATGAAGAATTGCTTGACTACTTTCTCAAACTATATTCAAAAATATCGGATTTCCAGGTCATCGAGTGTCCCACACTGTTTACTTCTGTAGAAGACGCATGGTATTTATGTTCGATTCGTTCGTTTACTAATTGCATTGTTCAGAAAGTATTAGAGATTAATCTCTGCGTGGGAAAATAAGTCGAACTTATTGCGTTTTTCCTTTCTGTACGTTGCAAATATATAGGGAGTACATTAACAAAAAATCGATATGGCGAGTTTCGACGGTATGGAAGAAATAGGCTCAGAACAAGTACCGATTTTCGATAGGTGAGAACAAAGCAACATATGAGTCGGATAAAAAAGTTTTGTTAACTCCCTCGCAACTTGATTTATCACATGGATTTGTGTTATTCTTATGTATTGATTAATACATTATTTTTGTGTTATTGATGTATTATTTTTATATATTTTTTTATTCTTTTAAATATTAAATATATTTTTATATGTAATTTTATCAACTTGTCAATTGAATTTAATTATTTTAATATATTTGTATAATATGACAAGTTTGTCTTATTATTTTAATATTGTATGCTGTAAATTAACCTTAAATTTAAATGTGTGATTTTACATTGATATAGGATGGATAAAGATTATAGAATATATGTGAATAATTTGCCAGAAGAATTAAATGAGGTATGTATTTTCTAGAAAGATATCCTAATTAATTATTATTTTTAACAAGAGTTTTTGTACTGTTCATATAATATCGTCATATCATTTGCATAGTATGTGTTGTTAGTGATATTAAAAACATAGTATATTGAGATTTATGTGGAATATATGTTCATATAGATATTTTATTTAATAACATAAATTATAATATTTAAGGATGCTGTCAGAGATATTTTTAGTTCATATGGTAAAATTACTGGAATATTCTATCGTCCTAATGCTACATGGGCTTATATTACATTTGGGACATATCGTGAGGCTGAACTCACTATAAGAGAGCTTAACAATAAGAAACCATTATATTTAAAAGTAGCTCTTGCAAAAGAAAGATCCGATGTAAAAGAGGAAGTTCAAAGAGTAGATATACCAGAAATTCAAGAAAAACCAAATGTGGAACCATTCATCGTTCACAGTGTGAAACAGTAAGTATTACTGATATTGAATTCTTCTTAACCCTTTGCACTATGATTTAAGTTGCAACACCATATGCCAAAGCTGGTGATAAAGTTATATGTATAATGCTCAGTCTACATAAATCGCAAAATGCAAATCACAGATGCAGAACATTGACCAAAGCATGTAAAAATTGAACCGTATGTTTTGCGAGCCAAACATACAATGAATCTTACCTGTTCTTATATTTAGCCCGATAATGTACCACAAGCCTGACTTGTGTTTTTTATGTTTGGCTCGAATTCCTTACTACATGTTTCACACAATATTGTAGGTGAAGGGGTTAAAGTAATATAATTAACAGGTACAATCAATCATATTAAATTCTATTTTATATACTGTGAATCTTTCAGTATTTTTGCTGATCAAATTGTCAAATTTTTATATTCGATGTATGTTTATTATTATATATAAAATTGAAATATTTAATACACGTTTTATACTTAATATTAAAGTATATATGTATGTATATATGTGTGTACATATATACACAGGTCAATTCACTTAAATTGAGTATCTTAAATTTCTCACTTGTTTTTGATGATGTGAAAAAATGTCTAAGAAAAATGTTGCACTATTCCAAGAGACAACTATAATGACAGGAAAAGTTTTCTTTTTTTCAAAGATTTGAAAGTTAAGATAATATTTTTAATGGAACTACATGTGTGTGTTTTTGTTTGCACACTTATAGTCAACATCAAGAGGATCTATGACAATATGATTTTGAACTAATTTTGAACACGAAAAATTATGTATGTCTGAAGAAAATATAAAAGTCAGATATTTATACTTTTTAACACAAAAATTTATTTAAAAAATATCCTCTAACTAAATTTAAAATAGTATCCTCTAACTTCAACATATTTTTGAATATGATATGTAAGTAATACTTTTATGCTTTCTGTCATTTTTTTTCATGCAAAACTGCATGTGCAACTTGTGCATTATAAACTGGACAACCATAATGTTGATATTAAAGAACAATAGGTAAAAAATACGGATTTTGGCCCATTGAGGGATGAACAAAACATCATTTCTATAGGATTTTGACTTGCTGAACACGATGTTGTTAGTTTTCCTCTAAATCCCAGAAAACATGTTCAAATCCAAGGATTCATCATCCAATAATCGAGTGGCCCAGGACCTTTGCAAAACTTTGAAGCTATTGCAAACTCGTGTATTAGCTAAATTAGCTGAAGACAGTTTAGATTTTCGATTTAGAAATATTTTCGATTTAATAGTTAAAAATGTTCTTTTTATGCAAAATTTGTTAACAAATAATATATACGATGTCACAGATCACCCGTATCACTCGATTGTTTTGGAAACGCGACATTTTAGGGAAAAATGTTTTAGACAAAAGTTGTATAGTTTCAAAGGGGGTATATAACAACTATATCATGTTGTTTAGATGGCGCTATTTTCGAGATATTTACTGATTATTACTTTTTTTAAATAGAAACTTCAATTTTTTTATTATATCATCTTTTTCTACCAATTAATTTTAGCAACTTTTGTCTCAAACGTTTTTTATTTGCCTAATACTTTTTGATTTAAAGAAAACTTGGTAACTTTTTCAATATTTAACTTACAATATTTCGCTAATTATTTATCGGAAGAGAAAATAGTACTTTTTTACTCTATTGGGTCTCGGGAATATATTGTTACAATAGTGCCCTAACTTTTGTTAATTTGATGATTTTGAAATTTCCAAAGGTCGATAAGTTAACAAAAGATACTATGTGACAGTCTATTTCTCTAGCATGACTTGTATTGGTAAATTTATTATTATGAAAACTATAAAAAATTAAAACCAATAAAATGAAAGAAAATATATTACACAGTGTACACAGTTATAGTACACAGTGAGAAACAAATAAAAACGCAAAAATAGGATTCTTTAGAAGTTATTTTTATAATACTATATAATACTACTTTATAATATTATACCAAGTTTTCCAAAAGTAACGGACCTCCTCCCTATCTCAAAATCTATGCATTATGGGGAAAAATGATTCGAACAAAAGTTTTAGAGTTCATAAAGCTCTGTTTTTTTGTGACCTCAAATTTGACCTTGACTTCGACCTTGAAGATCAACTTTTTTAAATGGGGCATTTTTTAAATAGGAACTCTTATTTTTTATTACACTGTTTTTTCTACCAATTAATTTGAACAACTTTTGTCTAAAACATTTTTTTTATTTGTCTAATATTTTTTTGAGATATTTGAGGAAAACTTGATAACTTTTTCAATATTTAACTTATGATATCTCGCTAACTTTGTCGCTAAATTTGTCGGAAGAAAAAGTGGTACTAGACTTTCTTGCTTTATTTAGTTTATATTGTTATACAATAATGTTATACAAGAATATATTGTTATACAATAGCGCCCTGACTTTTGTTAACTTACTGACTTTTGGAAATTTCAAAATCATCAAATTAACAAAAATCAGGGCACTATTGTAACAATATATTCCTGGCGAAGGCTGCCAGGACCGATTTGATATACACCTTCTATAAATTGCTTTATAAAGAAGAAAATGTCGATGTTTTGGAAGAATGTTTTAATATTTATTCTCAAACAGAACGATATCAGGCATTAGAGATAATGACTAAGCGTGAGCGAAAGCAACTTGACTCAGAGGAACGATAATCTGAATGTAAACACACGGAGCCGATGCATCGGCCCGTGGCAGTTCTCGCATACGTATCGCGAGCCGATAGATCGGCCTGCTGGCCAGCCAAAGGGTTAAATAAATATTTATATTGAAAGTCATAAATAACTCACAAATATATCATAAATGCGATGAGCTTATCGATGCGCGTAATAACATTGCACACATCATTTTTGTAACTTCCGTTAAACTGCAATCGACGGAGTGTTAATCTGTGTTCTTTTAATTTTACTCGTCACGAGAAGGAAGGAAAGTCCATAACTTACAAACCGAATGTAAAATTGAAAATAAAACTCTTTAATATTATAGGAATATTACGGAACATGCGCTAAAAAATAGTAGAAACTCAAGATAAATAATCTTTTATCTTCAAGATAAATAGTCTTTACAAAGCAATATAAATTCGTCGGTTTTCTTAAAAGTAAGAATATCTTGTGCTTTTCAAAGTGTGATTAATACTCCAGATAAATAAATTTCGGCAGATTGTTTGCACAGAGACTGAATTCAAGAATAAAAATAGTAGCATAAGTACATGTGTCTTTATATAAGAAACATTGTAATAGCATATAAAAGAAACAATCTGATGCCATGAAAATTGCGGCACATGCCACAATTGTGTGAATAAGAGGACGTAATTAATCAGCAATACAAACAAACTGATATTTTGTTGCAAAGGAATGGAATAATAAATATTTCTTACAACAAGCATATTATAAACTTGTTGCATTGCTTTAATGGTATCATAAAATATACATTGAATGTATGCATGCTATTGCCAACATGTCTATCTGGGACTCTTTCTCGTTTTGATTTTCCGTTTTCCATTTTTATTTTCAAGGTTCAAGGTTTACTTTCCAGTTTAGAAATACTCGCGTAATCAAATATTTTATTATCAAACATCAAAACACTTTAATTATAATTAGTTTTATAAAACTTGATATAATTAACCCTTTGCACTCGGAGCCACCTCGCGCGTTACCAACAGCACGGCAGCACTTTCGTAGGAAAACAGGAATCGCGTCGTATTAAATAATGTAATTTTGAAACCAAGTAATTTATTGTAAATAATTTATTGTAATGATATATAGTTCATATAAATCTTTAGACATTGAAGAAAAAATCAAAATTTTATATCTTATATTTTTTGTGTAGAAACGTCTGAAACAGTCACCAATATGCATTGTAGGTTCCTTGATACATGTACGAAATGTATTCACACTTATCTTATACAAATGCTCGCTTTCTTTCTCGTGTTGAGAAATATACATTAGAGAAATGTTGATACCGCTGTGAATGCACGTTTCACACGTTCTCTTTCTACATAACACCGGTTAATATTTATTTACATATATCTCAGTATATATATCATATTTTGATTTGATTTTTCATGACATTTGAGTGAAAACTTTAAGAAAACATGCATTTTTGAAAAATTTGCGCTCGCATAAGTTTATTATGTATAATCACTGATAGTCTTTATGTCCCCTGAAAGGGGACATCCGAGTGTAAAGGATTAAAAAACATTTCATTTGCTATTAACAAACGCATTAATCCTTGCTGCTTGGCGATTAATTCGTTCATGCGGGACAATATTTCCATCAATTATTGCAATTTGCTGTGCAATCATATGCGTTTGTAAAGAAAAGATGTGTCGTATATCGGCTTCGCAGATGCCTCTCATGACTCTATATTCATCATTAACGAAAGTTATAAAAATGTGCAATGTTATTACGTGCATCGATGAACCTTGCATCAACGTGGTGCTTAACGTAAGTGCCTGCGTCTGACGATGAGTTGTGTCGTCCCTACCTACTTCCTGTACTTGATTCGTAATAAGCGAACTATTTACTTTTATAACTCAAAAACTAAATTTCGGATAATATTCTGCGATAGGAAAAATCGTATTAGAATTCATTCAAGAACATGTCATTTTAAGGATAGCAAGTTGTTTTGAATCACCCTTACACATACACATGCGCGCACACATGTACATATATTTTTTTTATTGCAGTATACCACAGAGTAGTATTGGTCGCGGTTATGCAATTCGCAAATGTTTTGCAATACCAGATGTGGTAGTACCAGGTCATGAAGAAACACAATCTTCTTTACCAATATCTAACGCTTATGAAAGTGATGAGTCTTACATGAATACAAATAGATTATGGACAAGGTTTTTACATTACAATTATAAAGACTTAAGATATGATTATAACATATAAGATATGACAACTCTTTGCATATACTATATTTTACATCTTATTTCAGAGGTGTATTAACAGTCACAGCAGATGGTAAAAGACATGTTTCATTTGGGCGTGGTTACACAATGTATCAGATTCCAGAGCCACATCCTAGACTTGAAGAATACATTACAAAAGTCTATGAATTACGAAAGAACGTACGTCATAATTATAATGGAAAACTAACAAAATGAATGAATAAATGAAAGTTTACTAATCTTTTTCGACTCAAGCGAATAAGTTATTTTAAATATTTCGTAATATTTTAAGATATAATGGAAAACAAAAATTATCCACAAAAAATATCTTGTCGATTCATAACTAGTTTCATTATTATACAGTTAGCAATAACGACCAAATAAAATTATAATAAGAAACGATATTAGAGAAATAGTAAACATTTTTTGAAATTTTATATTATTTACTTCTTGTAGGGAGTGTACGAATATGCGGATGATAAACTTCAGAATAAATTGCAAAGATGCATTGTTTGTTCGGCTAAGACGACGAAACATTGTGAAAAGTGTTACACTTATTATTGTAGTAAAGCGTGTCAAGTAACTCATTGGCCGCGACATCAGGCTGAGTGTGAACGCATACCGTAATTATATATTCTAATTTCAATGTTAATCTTATATATATTATATTATATATATATATATATATATACAAAGGCATATACGAATTTTGCAATGTAATTACTTTTTCCAGTGAAATAAGCAAAATGTGACACGTGTTAAAAGTATCTGTTATTTATTTCAACAGACTTTTTTTCTTTAATGGTAAAATTTGTTATTATGAGGAAACACTTTTCTATAGGGATTTGGTGGAGGAGTCTTCACTAATGCAAAGTGATATAAATGATCCAAAGCAGAACGTCCAAACCAATGGCAAATTTAACGACATAAAATTACGTCGTCCAAATATATCAGTACGAAGTCCAGATTTCAGCGCAAATGTACAACGGATGAATTGTACAGACAAAACTAATGAAGATGCCATGGTTACTGACAAATTTTCTAGTATTCAATTTAACAACGGCAACAATGTATCAAAGGAACAGAAAGTAGAAAAGAAAAAAGAAAGTAGTCAGCCGGCGGTAAATGCAACAAGTGATAGGACGTCGTTAAGTCGTTTTAATAGATATAATTCTTACGAAAATAGTGATCAATCAAGGGAAAACGATCAATCTCCAATGACATCTCAACATATTCGCCAAAATCTTCATATACGTAGTAACAAAAACGATGTTACAGACAAAACCGCTTTTAACGAAGAAACTAATAAAAATTATGATTTAAAAAATAGATGTAACAACAATGTTGACAGAAGTCATCCTCATCAAAGAAATGGATTTCAAAATGACAGGAAAGCATCAAGCTATAACTACAAAGAAACCACCACCAACAAACAGGGACAGAGAGTTTCTGTAAGTATTGACATGACGGATGAAGATTTAGATTTTCGCAAGGATACATACTTATCAAAAACAGATTTTAAAGATGTAGAGATTATTGTACCGTTGGGTAATAATGAATATTGGATATGCAAAATTGAGGATATGAATGCGCGTAACGACTTGACGACCAAGTTACAAGACGTTGCGAAAAATTCCCGTAATGTGCAGCCTACGATCGGCGAGATTTACGCTGTGCTATACAATACTATTTGGCACAGGGCTATGATAGTATCTTTAAATCCTCTGAAAGTTCATTTCATAGATTTTGGAAAGGATGAAACACTAGAAAACAATACTGAAATAAAAAATATAGGAGACCTTGCTAAAGTTCCGAGATTCGCTAGGAAAATTCGTATTCAAAATGCGAGTGCAAAATTTAAGAATCTGCTTCACGGTAATAACATTTTTGTTAAGATGCTATCTATGGATGCGGAGAAGATAATGGCAGTAGAAGCGGAAGAGCGATTGGAAAATTTAGCTGCACGCACAGCTAAAGCTTCATCACAATCGAGCAACATGAGTAATGAGAGAATGCTGCGGAATCAAAAATCAGCACTAAATAGTGGAAAAACTCGATTACGAAATATCTTGGATGGCTTTGCTGATTTGCTAACTCAAAATGCTGTTCCTGAGTTGAAAGTCACGGGTGTAATGCAAATCTTCGAGCACAAGCAAAAGAATATTTACAACGCGACCCTGATTGCAGATTGTTTTACCAACAATATGGAGAGGATTGTACGCAACTTACCAGAAACAATGCTGAAGATGAAGGAAACTGTTTCAAACTATAAGTAAGAATATGTTACAACTATAAGAATATTTTACATTTCTTGTAATATATATTATAATATAATATATATTATAAGAATATATATATTATAATATAATATATATTATAAGAATATATATATTATAATATATGTATTTGTTTATCACGATTTACTATAATTTAATGGAGATTAATTCTTGGCTTGCAAATTTTGAATATTTCAGACCTCAAGTAGGAGATTTGGTTTGCAGTGAAACGGAAAAAGATACATGGTATCGAGGATATATAACGATGTTGTCACCCGAATTGCGTGTAGCAGCGGTGGACGAAGCAAGAATTCTGCCTGTAACCAAAGTTTTACCATATCCCGCAGAGTTTCTAGACATCTGCACTTGTGGAGTAGTCTGTGAAGTGACCAATACTCAATTAAATGTAAATATATTTAAAAGCTTTCTACTAATATAGTATTACTTGCGTACACAAGTTGCTTGTCCTGCAAACTGGACTACGCTTGTGTCTATATTTCACCAGTTGTGCAAAATTATATTTTGATGAACGTTGTGCAACTTTTATTTTCTATTTCAAGGTGGATGATGTATACAACTTCACAGGAGTTATAAGAGAACACGATAAAAAGCAAGGTAGTTTTAAAATAGAAATACAAAAAGATAACGAAATCGTGGAGGTTATAGTAAAGTCCTGGGAGCCTATAATAAAATCGATTCCTGCTTTAGCTGAATTAAGGAACGGATGTAAAGTATGTGATGTCATTTTACAAAAATTGGTTTAATTAAAAACAGATTATTCCAATTGATAAAAACTAATTGTTAATCACGTATTTCATTCAAATTATCTATATTAACACTTTGACGACCGCACATTTTACGAAAAAGTTTGCCCTTACCGTCAGCATATGTCGAAAATTACTGGCTGCCGCCGGCAGCTTTTTATAAGCTTTGGTACAAATTGAAGACATGCTGTTGATATGTTGTTACAAATTCAGACATAATTAGTATTTAGTGAGTAAAAAAGCGTAATTATTTCAATAGCAGATTTGTCATCTTCCCGACTATGATCTCACTTCCATTGTCTCATTCTTCATCACTGTTATCTGATACTTGAACGCTAACATTTGATAAGTTATCAACGTACACCTCGTCGTCTCTTACGAAAAAAACATTCAAATATTGAGTATCTAAACTCAATTATTCGAATTTACTCAAATGTGAGTGTATACACTCAAATTTGAGTATATATACTCACATTTGAGAGTAAATTCGAACAATTGAGTATAGATACTCAATATTTGAGTGTTTTTCTATAAAGGATCACTTTCACGCATTTTTAAAAGTATTTTCTTTAAGTTTATAAATAAAGTTTTTGAATTTTTAAACTAAATTACGTATATGTGAAGTCAACCAATAACTGTTGGCTGAATGAACTCATATATACGTGAATCTGGCCGATAACCGCTGGCTCAGTGAACTCACGTATACGTGAGTTCGGCCGTTGAAGTGTTAAGATGAGTTAAGATCGATTCTATCATTTTCAATGATTGCAATTATTTCAGATATGCCTCACCAGTTACCGAAATCAATACATTATGTTCGCCCACTCTTTAGACGAAAGTGAGATGGAGTACACGAGCAACATTATGCAACATGTTGCGCATTGTTCACAAACAGGTATGTATAAGATAATTGATCGGATGATGCGAACTAACAATGACAAATTATTTCGTCCATTTGATTACAGCACCACCTCTCTCCAAACCTCTAAGTACTGAACAAATGGTGATTGCACCATATTGTGACGGCAACAATTATCGTGCTATGATTACGAAAATACAAGATAATACAGCCACAATAGTTTACGTTGATTTCGGAAACTTCAGAGATATCGACGTGAAGGAACTCCGAGAGATATCGAATGATTTGGGAATGAAACGAAGTTGTTCGGCGAGGATAGTATTGAAGGACGTTCCTCGCGACGTCCCTATGACTACAGATGTCGACACTTATCTGCGCGACTTAGTAGGCAGAGAAGAGCCTTTAGTATGTACGTATGAGGACGGATTATTCAAGAATGGTGTACGTTTGACAACGAGCACCGGAGAAGATGTCAATAATAAGATAAAACAGCTGCTGGTACCGGACTGGAAGCAAGATAATTTTGATGGTAATTATTCAATTGAGAACCACAAGATACTCGGAATATGATGCAATAAATCTTTTATTCGCTTATGTTTATAAATGAGACTCGCAGGACTTGTTACATCAGCTATATAAAAAATCCTGTAGCATGTGAAATAAATTTGTAGAGTAAGAATGAAAAAATAAAGAAAAATAGACGTGTTACTTTCCGAGCATCTTTGTATGCTTCAAATAATCTTGCTGCATGCGCTTCTGAACAATTATAACTTCGTATACGCGATATTTGTACTATTTTACGAAAAATAAAATTTTTCCAATTTCTTCATCCCTTTGTCTGTTACAGATAACACGTGTTACATGCTGAACGATATAGAAATTGCTCCGTTAGGAAAGGTTGGTGATACGGTCGAATTGTTAGTGTTATATGGAAATGGAGACGGATTGGTATACATGATGAGCCCTTCTGATATCGACTTAATAACTCATGTCACCGATGTGATGCCTGAATTGGTAAATATTGTGTTAAGAGATAAAAAAGAAAAATGTAATTACATTATTCGTGTGTTATATACGCGGCATTTTATACACAGATAAAAGAATATTGCGAGAAAGTGGATTATTACATACCCAGACAGCAAGAATTGTGTCTGGCATTGTACGAGGAAGCATGGTATCGTGCGCTGTGTCTCAATCCAAAATTGTCGCACACGACATGCGAAATTTTCTTCATCGATTACGGGAATGTAGAGATAGTAGAACACAAAGACGTAAGGTTGATGCCTAAGGACTTTATTAGGCCAGCAGCAATGGCAAATATCTGCACAGTTGTTAGTAAGTATTCCATGGTTGAGTATTGTTCTGGTTTTCTCTCATGGTGATAACAAAAGCTTCACTGTAAGCAATTGGTAGTTTAGATCAGTATGTATTATATTTTATAAAGTTTCATTACAATTATTTAGAATGTATGCGAGACGTCTTTTCATTCTCTTTGACACTGAGACTTATATAAGTTCTTTGTTACAGATTTAGCACCCGTTGACAGTACTGGTAACTATTCGGCTGCTATTAAACAAAAATTGTCAGAGTTGGTAACGTTAAACACATTCGTAAAGGTCAAAATCGTAGAGTGTGTCGAGAATGGTGAATACAAAATTGAATTGCCGGAAATTCACGCTGCATTAGTCGAGCAAGGTCTCGTACCATCTTTATTTTAAAATTTTATTTTACATATGCTTTCAAATATTTTGGTTATTATAATCTCCGATGTAAACTACGAAACATACTTTTGTTCATAAAATTCGCTCGCAGCAATCTATAATTTGCAACAGATAGAGTTCAACTTGTGATTAATTTTTTTATTTTGCCTTATATAATTATCTGACTTCATCGAAATTTTAAATCTGGGTACAGAAATTGTCTTATTTGTTTTTACATTTTATATTACAAGTAACATCCCCGAAGTGTCGCTCTTTATTCTTGATAACATACTTGGAAGTAATCAAAATTAACAGATGCATATTTTTTTTATTGTCTAATAAATTTATATGTAGTAAAACTACCGAGTTACAAGCCTCATCTCCTTGGATTTTCATAATAATTGAACTATTGAAGATATAAAAACGTTTTTATAGACAAATATGTTATTGATCTTTTCTACCAGCTATACAGGGTGGGAGGTTATAAGTTTACAACCCGAAATGTGAAGGTAGATTGAGTTAAGATAAACATAAAAGTCTCATACCGTTTTGCGATATTCGCAATAATTATCGAGTTATTAATGACAGAAGTCTGAGGAATGGGAGCGCGCCGACATAGATGATTGAAGAAACGTTGCAGCTACTCAGGCCACAGCACGGCCCACTCGACCTAGCAACTGTTGGCGGTGTGCGGCGAGACGTAGGTCCGGCGAGATAAAACAACGAATAGCAGCGCATTGTCTTTCCCCTCGTCGCGCACCAGCAACAGTTGCTGAATCAACTGGGCCGCGCTGCAGCCTAAGCAGCTGCAACGTTTCTCCAATCATCTATGTCGGCGCGCTACCACTCCTCAGATTTCTGTCATTAATAACTCAATAATTATTGTGAATCTCGCAAAACGGTATGGAACTTTTATGTTTGTCTTAACCCAATCTACCTTTACACTTCGGGTTGTAAACTTATAACCCCCTACCCTGTATATTAATGTATATAAAAAATGCTTTAAAATCTATAAACTGTCCAGTGGATTCCTAACATATGCTGTTAAAAAATGTTGTAAATAACAAATCTTAAATTTTAAATATGTGTTTTTAAATGATAAAATATCTTCAATTTTTTTTATTAAATTTCAGGAAAGTTATTTTTATTTTAGATTCATCTTAATATTTACATTATATTATACATTATATTATATTATATTATATTACATTATATTATATATTATAAATTACATATATACACCTTGGAATGAAATCTTAGAGTTTTTTTTTATAATGTATATATAATGTATAATAAATTGTCAAATAAATTTATTAGTGAATCAAAGATAAAAATTAACATCAGCTATTTCATCGATTGCTTAAAATATATTTATTAGCATATAGAGGATGACATTTGACATAACAAAATATCCGTTTACAATTTTTTATATATTCAATAGTCATCAAGATATAGAAAAGAAATTAAACATTAAAAAATTGTTTCATCTCCTAAACTTTCATTTTGGCTTAAGAAAAAAATATGTATTGTAATTTTGTTTATAGTGAAGTTTTTTTTTATTTTGAAGAGACACTGGCTGTTTCTTGTCAAATATCATTATCATGTTTTTCAGTCGTTAACAATAAGATGGTTTTATTTCTATAGACTATTATGTTTAAAAGAATAATGTATAAAATGCTTTTTGATATAAGTCTTTAATTTTTATGCCAATAAATATTGAAGTTTCATAATTGATTTTTCGTCATTGTTTTTACGTTGCATTTATTAATGATTATTATTTACTTAAAATATCAGTATTATTAGTCAATATTATTCTGACATATGTGCACTGTACTTCTTTTGAAATTTATATTATGCTAGTAATTTGTTCTTTTAAAAAAAATTTTTCTGAAGTGCACATTGGTGCAAGATAAGTTAAAGTGAAACAAGATATATTTGTTTTGCTCTAATTTATTGCAACAGAGTATACCAATTTAGGAAATTCTTTGAAAAAGAATAAAGTTAGTATTACATACATACTCGTGTAATTCTAAATCAGAGATATCGAATCTGTTCTCTTCAGCTTTTCTTTTTTCCTCTTTAGCATATATTTTTTTGTCTTGAATAATAAAAGTATATATATCCAGTACAGCTACAGATGTTTATATATCAACTCCTAACTACTGCTAGCTCGAAGCTTTGGTGTTTGGAAAAGCTGAGGTTGATTTCAGCCATGATACCTTATAATAAAATGATGGCTATACATGTGTACTATATATGTAAACCATAAGCATTTGTAATACAACTACTGTAACTACTATAACTAGCTACTAACTCCCTCATATATCGCAGCACAAAATTGACCTTAAAGAGTATATATTACACACGAGAAATCAATAGTATAAAATTGATGGTCCAGAAGAAATGATATATGTAATATTGCTGATGCTGACTGGTACAAGTATCCCATCCATGGGGTACAAGTACCCCATGGAAAAGCACTTAAATATTGAGTGTTTATGTTCAGTTCGAATTTACTTTCAAAATATATATTCAAATTTGAACGTATACATAGTGTGGCTAAAAAGTTTTTGGACTAACAAGGAGATGGCAAGACATGTAAAATCGATAATTGAATGAGTCATATTTTATTCGAATGGGGGGGTTGAGTACATAAAAACCCTAAAAGAGTTTGCATGCATGAGTCTTCGTTCGCAAGAAATTTGCAATTAAAAAACAGCTATATATTAAGTGTAGTAACTTGGAATCAATAAGCGTGAAGCGCGGTAGTTGCGGCAGCTAAGACGCGCGCTAGTATTTTATCTACGTCCGAGGAGTGTTCGAGTTCTCGCAGTGCCAACTTTTTTTTGGGTAGCTTTGATGTTTGCCTCACAGTTCTTCTGATGCGCGGACGTTCCGTTCTTTTGTCATTTTGAATGTCCTTTTTACCGTTTCAAAATTTACCAAACCACAAAAACATTCGACCGAGACAAACACTTCTCATCATATGTGTTCAGCACTATTTGATAAGTTTCGATAGCAGTTTTACCATTTTTAAAACAAAATTTGAACACACATCTCTGTTCCAAATATGATTTTATAACAACCGCAAATAACATACGACACGCAAAACATTTATCTCGGTGAGAACTCAACGGAAATTTACGCTATGTTGCAACCGTATTCGGAAGGCTTTGGACCAGTGTTGCGCATGCATCAGTCTACATGTGCTTACATACTTGTGCCTAGATGTAATATTGAAGGTTCTTGTGGAGCTAGAACCGTATCTTTTTTCATTTTTCTTTTTTCTATATAATACTATATTGCTACAATGACCGCGTTCAGTAGAACAAAGTGATCAGTGAGCACTTAGTGATTATTGTCTGTGATTGGAGCATTCTTTTAGATTCTTCATAGACCCAGAAGTATTTACCAATCAGGAGCGAGATTCAGTGAAAAATCTAGTAATGGTTACGTTCAGAAAACACAACGGTTACACAACGGTTGAGTAATTCGTCAGCGTTATTGGTCTGATCTAATTGGTAAGGATCTAACAGTAAGGACCAATAGTTACTAAGCTCAGTGAGCGCTTTGTTTTCTGAACGCAACCACTGTTGTCCAACTGTTGAGTCTGCTGAATGCAGCCAATGGCCGCATTCAGCAGAAAAAGCTGCTTACTAAGCGCTTAAGCTAAGACTCCATGCATGCGGTGAACTGCGGCAAACGGTTGCGGTGACCAATCAGGAGGGAGGCGCAAGTCCGGTTGCGGCAAGCTCCGGCATGCGTCTGTCTCCTGATTGGTCACCGCAACCGTTTGCCGCAGCTCACCGCATGCATGGAGTCTTAGCTTTAGTGATCATTATCTATGATTGGAATATTCTTTTAGATCTTTAACAAATCCAGGGTAATGAACCAATCAGAAATGATAGGGCAGGATTACGATGAACTTTACGTAATGGGACGTGACGTGAATTTGACATTTGAGGTTATATTAGTGTGAAAGAGATCATTTATAAATAATCATTAAGCGCTTAGTAAGCAGCTTTTTCTGAAACGCGGCCATTGATATGATGTTATATTGAAAATATGTCAAACGTTTTTATCTTGTTTTCACGTTTCACACAAAAAAGCACAAACATACGATAAAACAAATTTTAAAATTACATATGTGTGGCGAGCTTGGTTGAGGTTAAGGTCACGATTGATTGGTGGAAATCTACCGATCAGAGCGAAACTTCGCCGGACAGGTTACGGGTTATAATTTAGATCCGAGTCTAAATATATATAATTACATATATTTCAATATATTTATATTTAATCATAAAGTATATACACACATTAAAATACATATTTAAGAAATATATACGGTATAAATTAATCTTAAATGAATTAAGGATATTAAATAATATAGTCAAGGATTTTTGCATACTGCGTCTTGAAAATGATTACGCGAATATTAACAAAAATGTTAAAATATAGTACGATTGACAAAAGAAAACTCCACACAACAGCAATTATGTCTTTTTTCGAGCCAGACCCGAAATCAGGTTATAAGACCGTATATGATAGACCACCGATAGAACAAGATTTGAATGTATTTGAAAGAATACGTGAAGGATGTAAACAGTTCAAAGAAGAATTTGGTGTTTTTATGGGAGAAGTAAGAGAACATTTTCGAAATGATCCAATTATAGTATATAGGCCAAATGAAGTTGATGTTGTGTGGCGTTTTAACGGTGACCCTAAATCATTAGATCAATGGGTTGTTACATGTGACAGTGATCACGAAGAAGGTTTTTCAACAGCCAAGTAGGTAATATTTAGACAATAGTGTAATAATAAAAAAGAAATATATTTATATATTTTAACACAAATCCAATATATTTTTTGAGATGCTTCTAAATGTAACATCCTAATCATTATTTTGTGTACTATAATATAATATAAACCATATAATATAAACTTAATCAATGGTATGATATTATTAGCTTACTGTTGTTTCTTTTTTTCTAGATTGGAAATGTCCTCTACTGGCACTGGTATATTTTCTGGTGTATTGAGCACTCGTTTGCCCAAAGACGGCAGAATAAAGTATGCTGGTTACTGTAACATTACTACAATACCTAAATACAAATCATTTAAGCGTGAAATCAATCATGATTGGACACCATATACTCATCTTATCCTTCGTGTTAGAGGAGATGGAAGAAGTTATGCAATAAATCTCAGTACTAAAGGCATGTACGACTTGACTTGGAATGACATGTATCAATATGTACTCTTTACCAGAGGTGGGCCTTATTGGCAATATACCAGGATACCATTTTCTAAGTTTGTGTTTGCAAGTAAAGGCAGAGTACAAGACAGACAGAATCCAATTGAGTTAAATGAAATTAGGAATTTTGGCATTACATTGGCAGATGATGTTTCTGGCCACTTTAAATTGGAAATTGATTATATAGGCTTGGAATGTGATATGTACAATGTAGAAGAATCTGCTTATGAAGGATATGATCAAACAGGAATTAGATTTTAGCATTATACGGTATGTATGATAAGGATAATATGGAGATGTTGTCATTATTACTTCTTGTGTAATATAGCAACATAAGAGAAAACTTACATTAACGTGTAACATGTAAATAATAAATTTATGTTTCAAGTTAAAGAAAACTTCTATGTATAGTAATACATACCAAAAAAACTCATTTCCCTTTCACAATGATTGAATGTAAAATGATTGAGGTGTTCTACTAGTTGATATAATGCTCTCCTTTTATATATAAATGCTTTATTTTTTGTTATGCAAATAATATAAAAAGTGATTTATATAGTATTTATTTTTGAGCTAAATTAAAAATTTTTGGATATTTTCCAATAAAGGACACGGAGTCATTTTATTGGCTATATGTTATCTTACGATATTAAGATGTATTAAGATATCATCTGAAGTTATCTTTTGCCTGTTCTTTACAGATTGCATTCCAATATTCTTGCCAGTACGTAAAACCTATAGTTCATGTTACATATACTGTAGATTTCCAATGTTGGAAGTTAAAATCGGAATGTAGCCACAGATATAAAACGCCGCCAAAGATGATAGTTCACATGAATTCTAGGTTAACAAATTATCATAAACCAGTGTTACTGGCTTGTAGAAATTTGTATAAAAATGGAAATATATTTTGTGTTAAGTTTAATAGCGCATCTTCCACGAACATTGGTACAGAAGTCGTTACATTGTCTGATGGGTGAGAGAATATCACATTTATATATCCTAACCTATATTTCTAAGCATGTACTGATACATTATAATGATTATTTGACAATATATTTTTCTATTAAGACTCGTACATTTTAGCCACTAAGTTTATAATTATTTAAAGAAAATTATTTTGTTTCTCTTGTTTCCTCTTATATATGTTTAAATCTCTTATACATAAACACAATAGTGTTTGTATCGTTATTTCTTTTATAAATTATAATAGTAATTTTATCAACGTTAAATTAAACTTAGCATCATTTGCATTATAAATATTAATAATTGTTAAATTTAATTTGAATAATACTTGAATATATTTTATTGCATCAACAAATATAAATCATGCAATACAGTTATATCTGTGAGGAATTTATATTATGCCGTAGAGTAAAATTTGTATGTATATATTTGGCATAAATTTATATATTATATAACATGTAATTTCAACTATTTGATTTATTTAATTTGAATGAAAATTAATACTCTTAATAAGCTTTATTAATCCAATTAGAAATTAAGTTCTTGTTATCTTTAATAATATTTTATTTTCTATATATTTATAGGAAGCATCTCAACTTGTCTACAGGCAAATATGCACGTTTTGCTGATGGCAGTGCAATTGCTTCTTTGGGAGATACTTCCGTTATGGTTACAGCAGTTTGTAAAAAGCAATTGTCAACCAATTCTACCTTTCTTCCACTTACTGTGGACTACAGGCAAAAAGCAGCAGCAGCTGGACGCATACCAACCAATTTCTTACGAAGGGAACTTGGACCTACTGAACATGAAATCCTTACAAGTAGAGTCATTGATCGTTCTATAAGGCCATTATTTCCAGAAGGATTTTATTTTGATACTCATATAATGTGTAACATGTTAGCCGTTGATGGTCTGCATGATCCTGATGTGATCGCCATTAATGGTGCCTCTACAGCTCTCAGTATATCTGATATACCATGGAATGGTCCTGTAGGTGCTGTTAGAATTGGAATGATCAATAATGATATTTTAATTAATCCTACACGGCGTCAAATGCAAGATGGCATATTGAATATTATTATCACTGCAACAAAACAGAATTTAATTATCATGCTGGAGGGTTCTGCTAATGAGGTATTGGAGCAAGATTTGAAAAAGGCAATAAAGCTTGGCGTAAAGGAGTGTCAACATATTGTAGCATCGATAATGAAATTACAAAAGGCATGTGGTAAAACAAAGAGAGAAGTTGAAATAAGCAATCAACAGGAAGCTGATAATCTGACCAATTTAGTGAAAGAACTTTCAGAGACAAAACTGCAAGATATATTTTCCAATTATACACACGACAAGAGCTCCAGAGATAATGCAATTAATGATCTTAGAAGTAGTGTTATAAAGACATTAACAACTGATAATGCAGATGTGAACATTAAATTAGTGGAAAAACTCTTCACGAAGATCACTAAGGATGTTTTCAGGTCACTGGTGTTTGAGAAGAATGTCAGGTATTTAAAAATTACATTTTAACTATTAAGTCTATTAAGTCTTAATTTTAACTATTAAGTGGTATCTCATATTTCTTTTTGATAAGTGTGATATCTTGTGGTATCTGTGTGATATCTATGGTATATTGCAACGTTAGCTGCAGACAAGAAATAGAGCAAATAATTCCTGCAATTTATCATCTAGATAACACGTTCCTGTTGATAGGGATTGCTTCAATTTGGTAAAATATCTGTAAGTTGTAACGTTAAATTGGATTTATTAACTTTACTATGATATTTATGTAGATTATGTTCGGTTTGTTGAAGTTGATACTGTATTTTATAATTATTTTGTAATTGTGACCGAATTTTGGAATTATTTATATAAATTAATATTGGATATGAGCAGTGGGAATTATTTGCCAATATTTCTCGTTTTCTTGGATGCAATTTACGATTTTTGATGTATCATTGAGTTTTAAACATTTTGAACATTTATGAAAATATCCGAGATCAACGATTTGCAGATGTGACGGGCGTTCATTGAGTGACATACGTGATATATCATGTCAAGTCGACCTTTTCAACCCTCTTCATGGTTCAGCTGTGTTTCAAAGGGGCCAAACTCAGGTCATGTGCACTGTGACTTTGGACTCCTTAGAAAGCGCGTTCAAGATGGATGCTGTTTCAATGTTAATCAGGTATTACACATGGTGAAATAATCAGGTTTCGATTGCTTTTTCTTTGTGTCGATTTGGTTGTTAATATTGTCCTGTCAGCTGTTTGTATCTATGGAATAATGTCAGATGTTATTGGTATAAAAAGTTTTTGTTTCAAGATGTACAGTTATACATTGAGAAAGAGAAGAATTCCCATACATGTAGAGGCAATTTGTTCACGACGGCAAATACTTCATGTGTGAATTGTTATTTTCACAGCGGCATGAAGGAGAAGAATTTCTTCCTTCATTATGAATTTCCGCCCTATGCAACTAATGAAATAGGACCCGTAGGTCGGGTGGGTCGCCGCGAGATGGGACATGGTGCCTTAGCAGAGAAAGGTCTGCGGCCGATTATTCCAAAGGATTATCCCTTTACTATAAGACTAACTAGCGAAGTATTAGAATCAAATGGTAAGTCTGTCCAAATAACACAAATCATAATACAAAATGATCCGAGTAGTGTTTCCCATCCTTCTCTTTGCCTCCAGAATTTGATTCATTTCCGTAGTTCCTCTCAGCTCTCACAGTCTCTGTTAATTGACAAAAGCAAAGTTTTAGTGTGTCGTTCTGAATTTTATCGCAAGATTTTGAAAGTATGATGATTACGAGATTATACGAAATTTCATATTGTAAAAATAGGTTCTTCTTCTATGGCTACTATTTGCGGTGGGAGCTTAGCACTGCTCGATGCAGGCATACCGATCTCTTCATCAGCAGCAGGCGTGGCTATCGGCCTGCTGACGAAATATGACGAAGCTAAAACGGATATCGAGGATTATAAAATATTGACTGATATATTGGTAAGTATTTTCGTGTTTAGATAGCTATTCGATCATCTAATAACTGAATATTTAAATGGTCCTTTATATAAGACAGCTGTAGATTTACGTAGTTTATAAATTAGGTGATCTGAATTTTCTGCTTGCAGGGAATAGAGGATTATTTTGGTGATATGGACTTTAAGATAGCTGGTACCAAACGAGGATTTACGGCCTTGCAGGCCGACATAAAGATACCGGGCGTTCCGTTGAAGATTATAATGGAGTGCGTGCAGCATGCATCAACTGCCAAAACGGAAATTATCAAAATAATGAACAAAGTGATACAGACACCGCAGCAGATTAAAAAGGACAAGATGCCGGTGCTCGAGAACTTGGAAGTGCCAATTCATCAGAGAGGAAAGTTCCTCGGAGTTGGTGGAACGAATCTGAAAAAGATACTCCTGGAAACCGGAGTGCATGTAAGTTATTTTAACTTCTGAATAAACAATTCAGAACAAACAATTTCCATGTTAGACAGTGTAATTCTTAATTCTTACAATTCGGAGTGTACTAATTATTTACGTTGACATTTCGCTTCAGATACATGCGCACGACGAGAACTTCTACTCTATGTTCGCGCCGAATGAAGATGCCATGGCCGAGGCTAAAGAAATGATAAAGAACATCCTAGAGAAAGATCGTGAGCCGACCTTGGAGTTCGGCGCCATTTATACAGCGAGAATAGTAGAAATTCGTGAAACCGGTGTTATGGTGACGCTTTATTCAAACATGATGCCGGTGTTATTACCCAATTCGCAACTGGATCAACGTAGGATTCATCACCCTAGCGCTCTAAACCTCGCAGTCGGCCAAGAGATACAAGTCAAATATTTCGGACGTGATCCGGTGTCTGGACAGATCAGGATATCGCGGAAAGTGCTGCAGGAACCGGTTTTAATTCAGAAGACTTTACATCGTGACAACGAAATATTAGAAAAAGCGTGAATGTCATGCAAAGAGGAGAGTACAAGCTCTATGAAATTTTAGCTCAATATCCTCGAGTGACACCGTTGATGAGATACTATTAAGAGTCAAATATAGTTTTACAGAAATATGATGTGGCGTTGGAGGTATGATTTTTTGCTTATTTGTATTCGTAAAGTTCCATGTGTGGTTTTATAGTGTCTCTCGATGGTGACGTGCGATTTAACTATTATGAAATTACATTGTAGAAGAGCGACATTTTGTACATATTTCCATCGATATGTAGAAACTGGATATATTTTTAAATATACTTAATAGCTAAGAAAATTTAGATCCTTAGATCCTGCATTTTTATATTTGTATTATGTTGTGAAAAATATAAACACGCAGGTGTTATAAGTAAAATACTTGACGTGTTGATTCATTTACTTCCACTCTCGTGTATATCGTCGCTACAAATCATTTATGGAAGATTTTTAGCACATCAGTTACATGCTATTAAAAAAGTATATTTTACGTAAAAAGCAGTTTGAAATAATATAAGTTATCGAGATAGATTTTATCCAAAACAAAATCTGATTTGAAGAAAAATTATATTTTTGACTTTCTTTCTCTCTTTTTCATTCTTTTTCATGCAAAATTTATTATGGATAAAAATACTTATTTCGAATGATTCATTTAGTTAGCTGCTATCTTTTAGTGGAAAGTGATATCAAAAAGGAAGTGAGAGATACTTTCACAGTAGGATATTATGACGATAAATGATAAATGTTATATATACGTATATAATATTTTGTAGATATTTTTAATAAATAAATTTATCACAAATATACATTTTCATAAAAATATTTAGAACTATTATTTTTGATCAAACTTCGGCTTTAATTGTATTTTATTAGTAGATATTTGTATGTGGTGTTATCAACATTTTATTCAGATAATAATTACATTTTCTTGTAACGTCAAGTAAATCACACTCTAAGTAGACCAACATTTATCAATTAATTTAATTGCTTAAAGTAATGACAAAGATTACAGGATAATTTCTAGGAAAAAGTGATTTTATAATATTAAACTGAGATATAAGCAACGAAGATAATTAACGTTAATTAATTGAGTAATACTGTCTTTGAAGAGCGAAATTTTTCTATCTATGTAGGATTTGCAAGTTGATCTTTAAATAATATATATAATTTCCATACAGTAAATATAAACTTTTGAGAAATGAAGAGTTTCTAATAGAAAAAAGTATACATTTGTTATTTTAGAGATATTATTTTAAAGGTTACTATGAAAATAAGCAATCAACACAAATATCGTTATTAAAAACAATAAATGAGTGACGATTTAATTCATTTCGACTGAACTTCACTTTACACATGTGATGACAACTCCATATGGCGGCACATTTATTTTATCGTTACGTGTGTAAACGAAGCTCTACGTTTACACTTGCTATTGTGGTCACCACGATGTTCTTCGAGAGAGCTTACGACCGCACTTGTGAATATATTTTCGAAACTGTAAATGATGGGGTATGTTTCGTGTACACACATATTGGGCGACCGAAGGCAACATTGACAATATTTGAAGATTGATAGATCGTGATAAATTAAGCATTCCTGAAGAGATAATTTATTTCCAGAAATATCATATTTGTCGTTGCAAAATGTCAAGATTATATAAAAATATTACGTGTAAACGATATTTCTAAGTGTACCAGTGCCAATCGATTTTAAAGCATAACTAAGATGATACGCATAAAAATTAACAGTCATATAAGCTTCTCACATACAATTATTCTTTTTGTATAATTTTATATTTCTTTTTGTAACAATAAACGTGTCTCTAGCAAATTTCTTCTATCAATCCTCGAATATTCTGGGTGATGTATTGATTTATCCTGTTATATATTGAAAAATGTAAATATTTGCCAAATATTAAAGCCATAAATATATACATTATCATGTTTATTTTATGTACATGATTATATATTTATTACAATTATATAATATTACGATAAACGATTTTTTAGTCTTTTGAAAATTTGCTACAAATAATTATAAAGAACTCCTCAGTTTTTAATTGCTAGTAAGATACGATGATTAAAATTGCAAAAAATTGTACTACTTGAAATCTTCACTATACTCATAATTTCATGTTAATTTTTTTCAACGGGCTGCTATCAAAATATGAAAAATAGAAGCATGATCTTGACATATCGCAGATAATCTTTTTTATTGACTTGAATCTGATAAAAGTTGCTTTTAAATATCAAAGATATCAAGTACGTTTCTTCTAAGTGGACTGGAGAGAGTTGTAATGATAAAGTTTTGTTTTCTTTGATAAAATTGCTAAGCAACTGCTAAGCAATACATATAATTGAATTTGAGCGTGTCTTTTCAATAACTCATTGAATTTCTGTTTAAATTTTAATAGCCTCTTGATAACCAGTGAATGTCCGTGATCTATCACGGACACTCCCTACCGTGTATAACATAAAGTTGATGACGATTATCATCTCTATACTTTAAAATAAAATCATTTTATCATGACGATATTTTATCATGTTGATCGATAAGTACCATTTCCAAAAGCGGTCATAAAAATATGAATAAAATAATATCAAATTATATATAAAAATATCACGATATTTTTGCTTTTATATCACGAGAAACAATTACTCGAGAATATTTTCTGTTGCAATGTCCTGCCAGTTAAAAATTGAAGAAATTTTGCTTGTAATGTTAATTGCTCAAATTATTGGGATAGCCCAAAAGATACATATTCAAAATGATATGGTAAATGTTGAAGGATTGACAGAAGACATTTCGAGGAGGAACACGTTTTGTCGTTACAAAAAGAGATATAAGATCATACGAAAAGTAAAATTGTGCGTGAAAAGCTTATGTGACTGTTAATTTTTATGTGTGCCATCTTTGTTGGTAATGCTTTGAAATCGATTAACGCCGATGAGAGATCATTTATACGTGACATTTTAGCACAGTCTTGACACTTTGTAACTACAAATGTATATTTCTAGAAATGAGATACCTCTTCAAGAATGATCAATCAAATAATACTTATTACAGAGACTGTGGAAACATATAAAACACCGGTATGAAAATTCAACTGTTGAAACTCAGCATATGCAGAACGATCAATCAAAACCTCCCACTGATAGCGAAGAAGTACATTAAACATGCTTATCATGCAATGTATGGTGGAGATAGTAATATTAATTACATTATGTTATGTGACGCAATTATCAATCTGTTTATCTGTGAAAATCGCGCAAAGTTACTATCTTATCGATTACAAGTATTTGTTTCTTGTTATCATTCTATTAAATGTCTTATCGATCTTGTCGACTTAAACTATATGTACCGAGCTAACGGTGTGCATTACTTCGCGATTCTCTGCACCTGCAACATCCATGTGAGTACCGTGATATGTAATTTTTCCGACTGACTTTCTCAATATAGATCTTCCAAAGTAGTGTTCCTTTCGTGTCGTTTTCGTGCGTTTGGAGTGTAAATTTTCGTTTAAATAGGAATTAATCAATCATAAACAGAAATTTGCACTTATATTGTTTAAATTAAATTCACAAATGTAAAGAATTTAGAATCAGAATTAAAGTTCCACGTTCTCATTTATTATGTATGATATTATATATGTATTTATAATTTCTAAACGAGAATTTTCTTTTAAAAATCGAAGGCTAACACAAAGTTTAATGGCTAAAATCACAGAATTTTTTCTGTTACATCAAGTATAAACATTTTATTCTATATTTTGAAAAAATTGTTTTTTTTTCACTTTTCATAGATCTCCCACTATGAAGCTGCTTCCGCTTGCTTTCTCTATCGTCATTTTAGCCTGTTGGTCTAAATTGTCAACAGTTAACGGTGACTACGTAGATCACGTGGATGAGACCAAATTCCATTGTAGCGGCAGTCTTCTCTCCTTGAACTTCAGTAACGCAGCGATCATTAAGATCGGCAAGGACTTCATCGGCAGTCATTTAGTCACCTGCCTGGATCTTAGTAACAATCAAGTCGAAACTATCGAAGATGGTGCCTTCAGGAAGCTCCCTAGGCTGACCCAACTCTACCTCTCTAAAAATAAATTCCTCAGTGCTCAAAATCTCTTCTCCTTAGGAGGCCATGAGTCATTAGAGGTTCTCGTGCTAAACAGTGCAGTTAAGATTAGCAGTAACTATGTCATTCCGGTTCCCGGAAGGTTTCCCAACTTGGAGATCTTGTCTGTCAGCAATAATGGCTTCAAGGACATGATCGCAGCACCGGATATGCCGTTCCCTAGTCTGAAAATTCTAGACCTCTCTAACAACGGTATGAGGGAAAGCAATTTTTTGAAACTACTGCCGGCGACTTTGGAACACATTTATTTGCAAGGCAACTCGTTGAATTTCCTGCGTTCTTTAGAAAAAGCATATAAGGTGACCACGCTGACATTAGACAACAACGAATTTTCATATCTGAGACACCATTCGAATAATCCGACTAGCACGGGTCTGTGGCTATACGCCATGAGCCATTTGCGTCATCTTTCCCTCGCCAAGAACCGCATTAACACTGTCGAGTCGGTCGCCTTCTCAAGCCCCATTAATTTGACCTACCTGAACCTATCCAAAAATAACATTAATTTCCTGTATCCGGAGACTTTCGCGAAACTTCAGTCCTTAGAAACGTTGGATTTGAGCAGCAACCAGTTCCAGAAGATTATCGATATCTCGTCTGAAATGAACATCACCGTTTTATCGTTGAGCTGCAACAAGATACAAGAAGTACCTCAAGACGCCTTCAAGCACATGTCGAAGTTGCGGGAGTTGTCGCTGCACGGGAACCAAATCGAGGATGTCCACGTCAACGGATTCGCATATCTTCAGCATCTAGTGAAGCTGGATCTGTCCAAGAATAAACTGAGTTCCTTGCCGGAAGGTTGGACCAACGCCTTCAACTCTTTGCAACTGTTGGACCTGAGCGAGAATCAATTCACGTCGCTGGAGTCCCTGTCTTTGTCAAATACCCTGCCGTTGGTGGAGGTATATCTGGTGATGAACCCGCTCAAGTACTTGGACGCTGGCTCTTTCAGCCATTTGCCGCAAAACGCCACCGTGAACTTGGTGCACGAGTCGCACGAAAGTGCGATGAGATGTTAACATAAGCGGAAAATTAATCCGAACTGGCTGCGCAGGCCGTTTCATCGAATTGAGATTTCGATGTCATGCGCAAAAACTGATCTCTCCGATAGCGAACATAGAAAAGCGACGGCCGAAATAACGTAAGTCGTATTGTCTCCTATTGTTCGCAACATCGAAAATTGAATTCGCGCGTACATGTACCAACCGTTAACCCGTGGTTTCAAATAATACGTGAGAATAAATACATCGACAACTGTCGCCCATTAACAGTTATTTATGCAGAATAATACCTACCGATTGCGTTAGTCACGATAATTACTCGTTTGTATAAATTGCGAAATTGGAGTAATATATGTTACAAGATAACGTGACAGAGACCGTAAAGAAGAGTAATATTGTGTAAAACTGAATAAAAATACTACGAGCAAAATGCAGCGATGTATTTATTAAAGTTAAGAATATCTGTTAAAAATTTAGCAATTATGGTACCAATCTTGGTATCATATTTTGGAAATTATTTTATGTATGTGTGTGCGCTTTCTTGCACGTTTGTTTACTCTATAAATATTTTATTTTACTATATATATATATATATATATATATATATATATATATATATATATATTATTGTTATTATTACATTATTGCACTCGAAAGCCCTTTTTTGCAGATTTATATATTAACATCAATCGAAAATTTTCCAGCATAATTCTGTTTACATATTTTATTTATATAAATGTTTCATAAAAGATAGTGTTTATGCTATTATAAATATATATCGTTTGATAATTTTCTTGCCGTCTACCAACCGGAACGGAAGATAAAAACATCCGGTGATAGATAATGTTGATTTTTCATAACTACGTCATACCTATAAAATATTGCGAGTTTCTGCTGCAACCACAGTCAAGGGAAGTCTAGTGAGCTAGTTGCAAGCGAGTTGTATTCGAGTATCAGACAAGTCAGATCAAAGTATTCAGAAAAAATCAAAATGGTATATTATCTATTTATTATATTTTATCATTATTATTTTTAAAATCGCTTTTCAATTATTTATACATACAAGCGCATTCTAAATTATAACGGTTGAATTATAACAAATAAATTCTATATTGTTGGAGAGGAACTATATAATAGTAATTATAATATTGAAAAGAATTGTCTGAATAGAAGAATTGTCTGTAAAGAATATATGTATAACGTATAATGTTGGAAATTTACAATGGCAATACACGTATCATATTTTAATCATTCAAGCTCTAACAATTGAATGTAATTTTGTTGAACTTTCAATTCCAAAAGCGTTAAAATTCTTATGCCATACTTTCGATTAATTTAAATAAACATATAGATTATTTTTGTGCTTGTTACCATCGAGATATGAACTCGACGACTTTCATATTGGTTTCAATCCTAAAGTTAAATTTTATTTTCTCGTAATATATATTTTACTTCTTATTAATATTCTTCCAGATGATAAAATTTGTTTTATTATTACTTCTTGGCCACTGTTTGGCTAACGCATCAAAGGACGAATTAATACAAACTATATCGGTATCTAACCAATATAAGGAAAAATATGATATGAAAATACCGTTTTACGAACAAATTCCGTGTGAAACTACGGATACTTTAAGATTAGAAGGAATGGTTATCAGAAGTATTACTGATGATTTGATACAAAGTGATACTATTCGTCACATCTCCTTCAGAAACAATTCTTTAAGAAATATTCCGATGAAAGTTTTAAATCGCGTACAACATTTAACCTGCTTGGATTTGTCCATAAATAATATTAATCTTCACAATAACAACTTTATCCAACATCATACTCTTCGAGTACTCGACTTAAGTTATCAAAAGCCGGAGTTCACGGACTGGTCGAAATCGGAGGTCGAAGATTTGAAGCAAAACAAAAAACCTACGGGATTAGTGAACTTTATTACAACTAATATATATTTACCAAATTTAGAACATCTTCTTTTAAATGGTAATTATATATGGGCGCTTTCCGATACGTTTAATGCATCATTTCCGAAATTATCGCATTTATATTTAAACAATATTAACGCTAAGGAAATAAATTTAGAACTTTTTAATATAATTCCCAAAACTTTACGGGTCCTTTATTTAGAAAATAATTATTTATCTAATTTTTCGTTACAAAATATGGCAGAAATTAAGGAATTACATCTTAATGGAAACCCTTTAAAGAATATCGAAATCATTTCGAACTATTTGCAAATTTTATTATTATCCGATGGGGCGGCAAAAGGAAATATTAATTTACGTACACCTAATTTAGAATATTTAGACTTATCTAATAATGACTTTTATGTTGACTATAATATGCGATATGATAATCTTAAGTTTTTGAAAACGCTTTTACTCGATTATAATAAATTTTCACGTTTTCCACCATTTGCATATACATCGCTTATTAAATTATCATTAAGTTATAATATGATAACATACATTATTCCAAAATATTTCGAACATTTGACATTTTTGGAAAAATTATCATTAAAAGGAAATTATATAAAACATGTAGAAACAGATTCCTTTATGGGTTTGAATCGTTTAGAATATTTAGATTTATCAGAGAATCAAATAAAACAATTGCCTTATGATTGGACATCGAAATTAACAAATCTACGATTTCTGAATGTTAGTTTTAATCACTTTGAAAAAATTTCAGACTTATCCATTAGTTCATTTAGTTCAATATCGCATGTGTTTGTAAAAAATAATAAGTTTACGGAAATTACAGTAAGAGAATTAAACACTCTGCCCACTTCAATTACTGTATATTTAAATTAAGAGAAAGAGGGAAAAAGAGAAATTGATTAAATTTCAAAATTAATGGCCATATAGTTCGTTTTTAATGATATACAAGTTTTATGTAAAAACAACATACTCTTTAATAATATTTAATACTTTACTTTTTTAAACAGAATTAGTATTTTCCTTAGCTGTATTACTATTTACAAATTATCTCATGTAACTATATATTGTTGCTTCGTTAGACATTTCTTAGACATTAGAAGTTTTAAGTTTTATAATATTTCATGTTTTTGGCCTTAGAACTTAATGTAAACATTTTTCTCATTGTTATATTTTCATTGTGTAAAATACTCGTATATTCTAGGTAGCCGTAATTTTTAATCACAAATATGTCTAAACCTTAGTTACTTCAATAATGTAATACGCTGCTCATGTAATTAGAAATAAAAATCCCATTTTGTACTTGGAACAGATGTTTTATTTGATACAATAATTTATGCTGGCGATGTATATATAATATGAAAATATTCGAAAATGTATGTCGAGTGTATGTATGTTCGCGCGAGTCTGCATTAGGTCATTTGATACTGCTATAACTTTGCTGACTGTTGATTATGTTGCTGAATTTGCCGCTAACAGGATAAAGTTCACGAAATATTAAAGTTTTATTTGCTGAGTTACAAGTAAGCCGACTTCTAGTTTTCCATGCTCCGTATAAGTGGATTTACGTTACTTTTTTCATGCTTGTGGACTGATAAGTTAAAAAGAAGTATATAACGTTGTAATTTCTTAATTTTGTAACTTTGTAACGTTTTTCGTGACTTTGTAACAAATCTCTATAATCACTATAAATCTCTATAATCACGAGTATTGGGTACATGTACTTCACTATTGCACTCATGATAACGTTATAATATCGATATAGATTATATTACGATATGCGTATTTATATCTTTATTTATTATAAATAAACATCGTTTTTTAACAAGATTGTTATTCTGCGGAAACTGGAGCAGTTAAAAATTAGAATTGGTTTATTTTACGAGGCCTATTCAAAAGGTGATTAATATTATCATCATATTGATATGATTTAAAAAATAACTCGAGACTAAGAATCTAAACAGATTAGCATTTCTCTTTCATTATGTTAGAACAAAAAATCCTGTAAAAATTTAGAATTATTCATTTTTATTATATTTTTACAAAAAAAAATAAATGAATATAGTATATCAAGTAACTATATAATACTAAATATATGTATAATAATATATGAAACGAGTAATTTGGCATAAGCCAAATTAATTATTAGACAGTAAAGAGTTGACACAGATAATAAATAAATTTCTTTTGGCTGACTCTGTTACAGGAAAAAGAAATTTAATTTCAGACACGGTAATGTATCGAAATCATTTACAAACTCGCGTTAAAAAAAGCAATATGAAATAGTTATTGTTGCAATTTCTACATAATGTATGTGTCGGACATATAATGTAATTTATTCAATATTTTAATTCTATTGTATCGCATTGCGTTGCATTAGACTTGCAATGTAAAAAGATTCATATCAAATTTTTGCACTTCTAAGAATGCTTCTCACTATGACAGACGATTCGGATTATTTACATCATTAGGCTCTGGCGATGTGTTACGTTGATAAGTGTAATACTAGCCATAAGAATGTGCGAGACTTATCAGAAGTCGTTCCCATGTTATAAGATGCGCCCTAACTGTTGATGCGTAAGCAAATAACTTTGAACCTGGTTATATAAAAATAAGAATAAAGTTAAAAATATGTTAAAAGCCAGTTTCTGAAATCGAGGAATTTATTACATATATAAATGATTGAGGAGTTATTTAAAGCATTAACTTATTTCAATACCAAAATATTAGAAATTATGGAAATATTAGGAAATGACTTTTTTTCTATTTCCTTATAAAATGTAAACAAGATATCAGCGCTAGAATGAAATAATACTTTAGCTTTAGGAGAATATTTAATTTGCTAAATTAAATTGCAAGGCATAGTTTACTCTGTACGGTAGATCTTGTATTGTATGTTTAAGTATAATAAAATGCAATAAACGAAGTATGTTTAATCGCATTACGTGAATTTAATTAGCTATATTTAATGAGCGCAAATATAAATACACATCACTTTGATCGGTGCGCCGGTAGTATAGAGATGGCACTGCAATTTGTGTGGTGAGATGTATGCAGATCGCTGATAGTATATAAGAAGACGAACTCACCCACTCGCGACATAAGGTGTCGGCCTACTTGTGCGAGTTCATCGTGAAAAGTGTTTGTAAAAAAGCGTTTAATAACTTTATCAAGAAAAAAATTATACATGGTGAGTGCTATTTATTATACTTGATTTATCGTTACTTTTGAAAATATTATATTACTATATTTTATTACTTTTATATATATTTCTTTATATGTATATATGTGTATGTATATATACACATATATATTTAAAAACGTAAGAATATAACATATATATAAACATAAGTATATGTTCATTACTGTATAATGTAATATATAAATTATTATATAAAGTATATAAAATTTATATATATTCATGTTTATATATATATTCATGTTCATGTTGCACATTCTTACCTCTTTGATTGTATAAAAATATTTAGATAATTTTCAAACTTAGAAGAACTATACAAGAATATCATTCTCATTTTTATTCTTTCTCTTTCTTCCTCTTTCTTTCATTGAAATAATATTCGATAAAAAAAATTTATAATATTTAAGAACCAAACATCATTAAAATACTAGGATTATTGCGATTATCTTAAAATATTATTTACCATATTCCTTATCTTATTTATTTTACTAAGATATTTTACATTAATTTTAGCATCATATTATTCCTTTCAATATTATTTATACACAGTTTTAGTGTTACTTTATTTTATTATCGTTTAACAATCTTTTAACTTTTGTGTGTGTTATTCTAAGATATTTAATTTAATTTAATTTTATATACAATTTTTAATAACTGCTTGCTTGTTTTTACGTTTGACATTGCTGTATTTATCGGTTTTCATTGTTATTTCTAATTAGTTTAATTAACTGATTGTTTGATTATCTTATTGTTATTCTATAAAATTTGAATATATTAATGTTTAATTGAATATATTAATGTTTATGTGACTTTAATACTATTTAATACTATTTAATACTATTTAATACTATTATACATATATGATATATGTGTATGTATATTTTTTATTTAAAATATTTATTTTCTATTTTTATTAGATGGCGATTGGCTGCACATTTACCATTTTTATCGTCCTTACCATCGTGTGTGTCGTGAAAAATGAAGATAGAGGCAGTATAATACCTGTCTTTGATTCTACCCACCGCTCTAAATCAAACCCTACCCCAAATGTAGAACTAACTGTCTCTAAGCTGTCAAACTACTATTGGAATACTACTATGCGTCCGCCTAGCAGTACAACAGCTCGTCCACCGTCTTATGACATTGCGTTTAAATTCTCTAACACTGGTTTGCGAAACATCGGCCAGGACTTTATTAACTGCAGCGATATGATTATAAGTCTTAGTCTAAATGACAATGAAATAAATAATATATCGCCTTTTGCCTTCCGCAGCATGCGGAAACTGAAATATCTGGATCTTTCTGGAAATAAAATTCCGACAGAAATATTGTTATCGTTCATCGGAGTCCCTGCGCTACAAACTTTGATCATCGACAACAATAAACCTACAAATTTACCGAGTGCACTTATCAACAATTCCCTCGACCCCGCCGTTGCTTATGGGGTCTTTGAGAGATTGGAGCACCTGAAACTACGTAATAGTCAACTAAAAAATTTCCAAATGGATCATCTGACGCTTCCTCGCTTGACTCATTTGCACCTAAGCAACAACAGCATTAACTCGAGTGATATTATTTCCAGCAATCTCCTGAATACGTTAACACATCTTTATTTGGACAAGAATTTGATCGATCGAGTTGAACAATATAAACTTAGGTACTGATGTTAATTAAATTACTTTTATCATTACTTTCGATTCATTCGATACATTCGATACATTCGATTCTTTTTCTTCTTCACGGATAAATGACACCAAAATAAAGTAAGATGAAAAAGAAATTTTGATGATATGTAAGAATTAAATTCTGCATAGGCATTTATTAATAGCGTTGCTATGTTTTTCATTTTGCTATTGATGCTGTAATTCTCATCTCTGTTGATATTCTTATTGATATATTAGTGTTATTGTCATCATCATTGCTGTTATTTTTTCTTTTTTCCGTTTATGTGAAATCGTTATTTTATAAATGCAACAACTGATTTCAGAAACATAGAGAAGCTTGTTATGGACAACAACTTCATCACCGAGGTATGCTTCGAACAATGTGAAAAGCAATCCATATCTTTGAAAGGCGCCATTCGTATGAACACGCTGTCTTTATCCAAAAATCGGATTTCAAAGGTGTCGGCTGATGCTTTCAGAGATACCAAAGTATTGTCGTACCTAGACCTATCGGAAAACAAGATCACTGAAGTGATCAAGGGTACCTTTAACAAAAACACAGTTGCGATACAGCATCTCTCTCTAGCTGGTAACAAATTCACCACCGTACCAGATACCTGTTCGCTGATATATTTAAAGAGTTTGAATCTGACTGGGAACCATATCAATGCAATTAATTCAGACAGTTTCTGTCGTTTGGCACATTTGGAGAAATTATACTTGGCAAATAACGACATAGACACTATCGGCAGTCGAGCATTTATAAATCTCCAGACACTGAAATATTTGGACCTTTCCGGAAATCAAATCAAACAGCTTCCAACAGAATGGGCGAATATCTGGCGTCTTGAGGAATTGCATCTCGAAAAAAATAATTTCAAAATATTCGACGACGTAACATTGGATAATATGAAAAACTTAAAAAATGTTTACCTTGATGGGAATCCGATGCTAAGCTTGAAAACGAAGTCTTTCCAATCGCTACCAACAGGCTTAACAGTACATGTAAAACATATGGGAATCAAGAACTGGTATAAAAAAGATGATGATGATGATGATGATGATGATGATGATGATGATGATGATGATGATGATGATAATTATGGTAATGGAAACTATTACTGGAATGGATAAAGTAAGAGTGATTTAACTTGTTACATATATTTTAACTTTTAATATCTTTTCCTTTTAATGGCTTAAAGCATAATTGTTTTCCGTAGCAGCTATTTTTGAATTTGTGTTTCGTTCAACTTATTATTCCTATATGAATTTCATACAAAAATATATTAAATATAATATAAAACAGCTATGTTAACTTTAATCTTTTAAATTCCGTTCTTAAAATCGCTTTTTGTTCGCGTTAGTTTTTGTTTCGTATCTCAGTCAGTATTATAATAAAATGATAATCAGTTTAATGCAATAATAGTATTGTAAATGTTTATTTTTAAATAAATGTTGGTGCAAGTATTATTTCCGCTTCACGTTGCTTAAATAGCATACTTTATCATTCAAATTTGTTTTTAAGATATATATTTTGTGACAAGTATTTTTGTTTAAGCTGACGTTTTATTATAATTATATAATATGTGCGTACTTATAAATGAAGATATACTTAATAAAAATATTCATGCAATGTGCAACGTAATCATCTATCATTTTTATATTTTTAGATAAATGCATTTTAATAAATATATTTAGATTAACATATAATGTCGTGTTGAAAGAGATTTACATACCATTTTAGTCTATCCTATATTGTGTTATAATTCCATCATTTTTTCATTCTTTTACTATTTTCTTTTATTCAACTTAATAACTGCGAATTACTTTTCATAAAATGTTTTCTATGTTTTAAAATAAATGTATGTAAAAAATTAATATCATAAAGTTATTTTATTCTTGTATGAGACTTTGTATATAAAATACCTGAAAATATAAATCACTCAACCGCCATTGCTTGGCGCCATCTAATGGCGTCACTGAAAAGATTGTTACGAATGATGGGTTTGAAACTCGACTAAATAATAATGCGACCGTTTTGTTACTTTGAAAGTCTCTGTTAAGAGCCGCCACTGTCTTCGCTGAAAAATCGAGGTCATAGTGACATGACTCGACAGTAAGTCAGTCGAATCTTTTGTTTTTAAGTAATATTATTCAAGTATTATTCAAATGAATACTCAGATAATCTTTTTATCTTCAGATAGTGCGCGATTTAATGACAAAATAAAGGTAATTTTTATTTTTTGTAATACAATCAAACATCGAATATAGAGAATCCACATTTATTTTTGTATGTTATCGAAAAATATAATAAGAAATCCATCCGACATTGAAATATACCGTTGAAGAATGGAAATCTTAGTGCACAATATGTACCATTAGTTACGAATAATTACTAAATTTAATTACCAGTCAAATACCAAAAATTACCAAATATATTATCAATAATTCAATACATAAGGAATTCAATACATAATTCAATACATAAGTTGTGAAAAAATAAAAAAAAGCAATCGATGATTTTCAATGTTTTAAGGTTATAACCGTTTGTTTGGACGTCGACTAGTTTTTCGACGCAGCCCATCCTTACCAAGACTGATCGGATTAGATCAGTGGACTTGAGATATCAAGGTGGTCGAGCCTCACCCCAGGGTGTCGGTTACGCAAAAGGTAGAGTGCATGCGCATGCGCACGTTTTGCGCTACGGGAGTGAGATAACAACCGCGTAGACGAAGATAGCGTATAAGAAGGGACGCGCGCGTTCTATGCGTGAGTCAGTAGCGTAGAAGGGAGCACGATGAACGTTAGGACAAGGATAGAGAGAGGGTGGGAGCTCAAGCACGAGTGGCGAGTTTGGATCAGCGGCGCAAATAGAAACTTTGTGAGAGAAACGTTCTTCTTACATTAAATGAAACGCATCAGATATGAACAGTTTAAAGAAAGTATTGTAGCGTTTGAATTTTAATGTTCGACAACCAGTCCTTGTTCTCTGTTAATTTAATTTTATATAGTTTTAATGTTTTAATTGGAACACATGTAGTTGTGTGTGTAACAGTGCGTGTGTGCACGCGCGCACACATATACGCACAATTTAAATAGTATCATATTTTACGTATTGAAAAATGTTTAAGATATTTAAACAAAAATAAACTTATTTTAGAAATAGAGGTTGTATTGAAGGTTGGGGATTCTGGATATGTGAGCCGTCCCTATGTATGCGACCCTGGTCCAGAGTTGTAGATGGGGATAAGAGAAGGGAGGAGGAGCGGAGGAGAGAGAGGAGAGAGAGCGAGAGAGAAAGAGAGTGAGAGAGAGAGAGAGAGAGAGAGGGGGGGGATGAGCGGGGGATGAGTGGTGAGTGGTGCAAGTTGTAACGAGGATGGAGAACATGAGGAGAATGGGGGAAGGCGTGGATAGTTCTGCAGAGGGATGAAAGGATCCAAGAGTAGACGAAGATAGTAACTGGGCAAATAGTACGAATAGATGCATGCAAAACAGTGATAATCAATAAGATTATCTGCAAGATAAGAATATTACTTCCAGATCTTAAGAAAGCGATTGCGATCAAAAGCAAAATTGCGAAGCAGAAGGGTAAGGTTGAAAGAATCATTTGCTTCAGGAAGGTTCACAGAATCCGCAACTTTTCGCACAGGCGAAATCATTTCCTGACGTAACCTGTGTGACAAAAAACAATCCGATTAAATTATTTCACCATGTCACGGAAAACATAATGAAGATTTGCGTGAATCATGTTACAGTCATCCCTAATGTAAAATAAGAGAAGGGGGTAGCACTGGGGGATCCACTGGGGGAGAGAAAGAGAGAGAGAGAGAGAGAGAAAGAGAGAGAGAGAGAGAGACGAAGGCCATGGTATCGTGGGAGGGCTCGACAAGGACGAAAGTATAAATACAGGGTGTAGAAGAAGCGATAGATAGTAAGAGAAAACGCAGCGCGGCGGAGATGGGGGTGGCCACAGAGAGAGAGAACACACCGCGCGCACAAGCGAGTACAAGGTAGCGTCGCGCCGTAGAGCGTGACGAGGAACGAAACTACAGGCGGACGCGCGCAGGCAGACACGCGGAAGGCGGCGGCGGCGTTTCTTCGCGACACGACGAGCTTGGCGGTACCTCGACCGTCGATGCAATAAAGTCGACAAGGAAGTGGATATCGGCCGGCATGGTGGAATAGACGAAGAGGGGAGATACTTCGGCGAGGGTGGTGGTGGTGATGGTGATGGTGGTAGTGGTGGTGGTGATGGTGGTGGTGGTGGTGGTGGTGGTGGCGGCAGTGGTGGTGGTAGTGGTGGTACCCCGCCAGTACGGTAAAATAAACAAGGATAGAAGCAGCGTCGTGCGCAATGAAACTGACAGAGACGACGAGTACCGTGGACACTGTAAAATCGACAAGAACGGAGGTACGGCCAATGCTGTGAAGAGAACAAGGACGAAGGTACCGGCGAGACGAGGTTCGGCGATACCGCGTCGACGTACACGATGATGAAGACGGAGACGCAGCTACCGACGAGCACTGTGCAACCGACGAGGACGAGGCTAAAGCGGGACGGGAGGAAGCTAGGTGGCTGGGTGGAGGGAGGTTAGGGGACGAGGTGCTCGCGTCTGGCTAGCTCGCGAGACACCACTCCCCACTCGGTCTGGTCGTTCTCTCCTCTAGCTTCCTCTCTTTCTCTCTCTCTCCTCTTTCAGTGTTCGTTCGAACGCGGCCCGGTATGGTTCTGTCGTCCCGTGGTGTCGAAGGGTCCGCTTCATCATGGGAGCTCACTGCCACGGTGGTGTCGGCAGGTCACCTCGGTAGCCGGTTCCCAACGCCGATGTAGCTTCTTCAGGGGGACCCGCGCGGTTTTTGCTAGTCTCCCGGTAAAAGGGGTGTGCGCGACGAGGATTATTGGGGTGGGTGTGCGTGTGGAGTGAGGGAAGACGGGACGGTGATAAGGTAGACAGAAGACTCTCTAGAATCGTCTGATGATGAGCAGACGATACAGAAGATCTTGAATGGAAGACGGGAATCAGTAAATAGAGACTGAGAGTGCCAGTTTCTTCGAGTTGCTCGAAGCCTAGGAGACCGGTGTGTACGTTGTTATTTGCGGCCAAACTCCGAAACATCGTAAGCTTTTTCTTCAGCAAAGACGGGCATGTTTATGTTACGCGCTCGAGAGATCCAATTCGCCAGCGTTTTCGTGTACGTGGTTAAATCTAAGATCGTTGCATCGTGTTAACGCGACGAGGGAAACAAGTCGAGCAAAGGGATAGCGCCAGAGAAGGATAAATAGTGGATATTGAAATCTACTTGTTTGTTCACTCAAGGCTCGCTCGAAGGCAGAGATTTGCTTTGTCCTTTTGCATCTCTTTCCTCGTGAAAGAAGAAGCAAGGCTCTCTTAGAATTCGTGTTTGTCGAGGTCGGGTGGGAGTCGTGATTCCAAACAACACCACACAAGATCATATTGCTCACCGCCCTGAATGAAGAACTGGACCCCTGACAGAAGTGCTTCATTTTCGAAGAGACGACGGCCAGATTGCTAGGAGACGCAAGAGCGCAGAGTTCCAGTCGTCATTTTCTGGACACGTCTGGACTAAAATGTCTGGCAACTATTCGGCACGCTGCGAGCCAGGCCTGGTGGTGCCGATGTGGCATCCGGAGGACAATCTGCACCTGATCGACATTGTCTTCCGAGGTGTGGTGTATTTCTTCCTGTTGCTGTATCTATTCATCGGCGTGTCGATCATCAGCGATCGCTTCATGGCAGCCATTGAGGTGATTACGTCCAAGGAGAAGGAGCTGGTGGTGCGTCGTCAAGGCAGGGAGCCGCAGATCGTCGTGGTGCGGGTGTGGAACGAGACGGTGGCCAACCTGACCCTGATGGCGCTCGGCAGCAGCGCGCCCGAGATCTTGCTATCTATCATCGAGATCTGGGCGAAGAACTTTCAGGCCGGTGAACTCGGCCCGGGCACGATCGTCGGCTCGGCCGCTTACAATCTTTTCGTCATCATCTCTTTGTGCGTCTTCGTGATCCCTAATGGCGAAACCCGGAAGATAAAGCACCTGCGCGTCTTCTTCGTTACCGCGACCTGGAGCATCTTCGCTTACGTGTGGCTCTATGTTATCCTGGCGGTCTCCAGTCCGGGTGTGCTGGAGGTCTGGGAGGGTATACTAACCTTCTCCTTCTTCCCAGCCACGGTCCTGTCGGCTTACATCGCCGATCGAAGACTGCTGATCTACAAGTATCTGCACAAGGGCTATCGGATGAACAAACGAGGTGTGATCGTGCAGGCCGAGTCCGGGGACTCCGAGGTGGGGGTAGAGTTGGAGATAAAGCCTCAGCAAGATGGTCTCCACAGCATGGTGGACCGTCTGGGCGAGGGTGACTCTCCCGAGGCGAGGGAGTTCGAGCAAACCCGCAGGGATTACATCAATACCTTGAAGGAATTACGTAAAAAGTATCCCACTCTGCCCCTGGAGCAGTTGGAGGTCATGGCCCATGAGGAGGTGTTGGGCAAAGGTCCCAAGAGCAGAGCTTTCTACAGGGTGCAGGCCACGAGAAAGATGGTAGGCGCGGGTAACCTCAGTAGAAAGATCAGCGAAAGGGCGCAGAGCGACCTCAGCGAGGTCAAGGCCGAGTTGCAGAAGCAAGAGGCCGAGAGCATCGACATCGACCATGTCAACGCCATGAGGGTGTTCTTTGAGCCTGGCCATTACACTGTAATGGAGAACGTCGGGACCTTCGAAGTGGGAGTCACCAGGGCTGGCGGTGACCTCAGCAGACCCTGCAGTGTGGATTATTGCACGGAGGACGGTTCCGCCGAGGCGGGATCTGATTACGTGAGTGCCAAGGGCACCCTGACCTTCGAGCCTGGCGAGACTAAGAAGACCATCAAGCTTTCGGTTATCGACGATGAATTGTTCGAGGAGGACGAGCACTTTTACGTCAGGTAATGGATCGATCGCTGATTTTCCTCGGAAATGATCGACGCCGTTATGGCAAGTTGCAGTAAGAATAATTCGATTATAACTGCCGCTCGTGAACGAGATGGTATTTCTGCTTGAAGATCGCGGAACCATGTTGCCTTCGACACAGTCCTATCGGTTTCGTATCCTCTGCCTTTCTTAACACGTTTAGTGTATCGCCGCGGTAGTCACCGGTGATCGGCGCTACTCGCCACGCTATTAGCGTAACTCCCATTAATTTCGCGCGTGAGATCAATTCCGTCCATCAAACTAGACACGAGACGGCTGGAAGAAAAGCAAGAAAATGGAATAAAAATACTCCCTGTTGAGAAATGCGAAACTGCATTCACGTATACGCGGTATCTTTGGTTACTCCAATTACGGTCTTCGATTAAACTATCGGGCGTATCAGTGGAAATCAACCGAGGCGGGGGAGGGTGAGAAAGGAGGGGTCTGAGGGTAATCGAACACGTTGAAGTTCTGACGTTAAATGTAATGCTGCCGGGAGAATCTGCTTCCGTATAATTATCGCGCCGGGTATATATTCGGTGACTGACAGTGCCGGGGCGATCTCTCGCAGCATTCGTGCACAATTGATTTCTTCCATCGCGTCATGCTGCGAAATAGACCTCGGCTCGCTGCTCGAATGTGAGAGGCGCGATCACCTCGAGGCTTCCTTGAAAAAGGCGTGGTTCTAAGAGCGCATTCGACGAGCCGCAGCGCGCTATGATTACCGATCATTGATCAGCGGCGAGCAGGCAATCATCCAATTGATTTCGAACGAGTGGCATCCGCAATTTGATCAGTGGATAAGCCGCCGCTGGTCGATTTAATCATGGGCATTAGGAGTGATTAGCGCGTGGCCTTTTTTACTTCGCGAGCAGCACGCCCGATGTATCCCAGCGCAGCGCAGAAGTTGCAGCAATATTGCCGCAACGTTGCTCTAACATCGCAACATTGTTCCAACGTTACAGCGACGTTTTTTCAACTTTGTGTGCTGTACGGGATCTGTCGTATAATTCCGCGCGCGCATTGACAAATTTGTGTCTTTTCTGCTTGCGCCCCCCCCCCCCTTCTGTCCCCTTTCATCCGCGGCTTGTTCTTCTGCTCTTGCGGGTAAACTGGTTCCTCGAAAATGAATAACGCTGATGTCATGTTCAGAGAACGGTCATAATTGGCACAACCTCCTTATGTGGGAAGAAATCGCGACGGAGCGATCTAGTTGCGCCATAAAGGCACACTTCTGCAACGAAGGACGGTGAAATTGGTAGCGCACGTGCCGGCTTTAGTCTCGTCATACCTCACACACACACACACACACACACGCTTACATTCTTCTTCTTTCTTCTCTTTTTTTGCCCCTTGCCCCTTCGCCTCTTTCGACCTCTTTATTGTTTCTTCTTTGGGAACTTCGACGCGCATATATTACACTTTAAATGCAGCGAGTCCAATAAAGCGGAGTTAGAGCGAGCGGACTTTTTTATTTCACGCTATGATCGGAAATTGCGGGCTCGTGTTGGTCAGATGCCCTGGCGATATTTCGCGTTTCTTGCAACGTAAGCTCGCATGTCAGATTGCATCGTGAGCCCGGAAACCGCACGTGTATGTGCAATTAAATGTATAAGTGAAATGCGCACTGATATAACCCACTTGATAATTCAGACGAGGAAAAAAGAGTCGTCAAGTCGGAAACAATTAAGGGACTTTGAACGGAACGCTCTGGAAGAGAGCGACTGACATGGTTCTTGAATGAAGTAATATTATAATCGGGATATAAAATATGAATCCGCTTCCTATTGCACACTTGTCTCTCACTAAACTATCACACTCGAGATAAATATCTGTTAAGGGAGAAAAGTTGAGAGTAACATTGGAATATTACGAAATACAAAGTACGCAGCTCCTAGGTACCTAGAAGAGCCAATGAGAGAGTTTAAATGCGGATGGAGCCGTCTCGAGGAAGTAAGATCATTCGCGTCATCCTAATCAATCGCTGCGAGGTCGCCGGTAATGAGATTGCGCTGGCGAGATAGCGCGCGCGCGCGCGCGGCTAACAAGGGCGCCAAAAAACGAAAAAGAAGCTCCAAAATCTGGCGATTCAAAGCGAGCCAAGTCGCGATCTGCGTGGCAGTGGCTTCTTCGCGTGCGAGCTACTCAGCGCGACCCGGCGCGAGTGTAACATCGTCGACAGGTATTTCGCAAGCATCGAATAGCTGAAGTCGAGCAGTGCGCGACGCTGAAGCACGTGCGGTGTAGAGACGCGAGAACAAGTTACGCTCTGAAGAGCACAACACGGATGGCCGAAGAGCAGTTGGAAAAAGGTGTCGATGGGGAAGCAGCTTTCACCGCGGAGCGGAAGAAAGATTAAAAAATGAATGACTGCTGTATGCAGGCGCGTGCCATTCGCTCACCGCTGAAAATTGCACCAAAGTCCGTATAATCTCGATTGCTCGCCCTCGGAAAGGGCTTTCAAGCGCAAGCAAGGTGGGGCACAGTCGCACGAACACGAAGACGCGCTCTCGTAACGATACTCAGCCACGATGGCGCCTCTTTGTTCTGCGGGAGTATTCAAATCGCGCGGAAAATAAACGTTAGCAACGAGCAACGCTCTGTAAATTTAGATCTCACGCGCCTTAGTTTCTTAGTTGGAGGCATTTCCGGAATTATCCCACCGAAGCTTCCCGTATCGACGTCCCGACGTTATCCCAAGTAGAGGTCGTAATTTTTAATCGATCTATGTTTATTAACGTCGTGCACTATAGAATATTGCGCGAGCATAAGCGCTCATTCAAAGCGGAGTCAACGAGAGAGGAGGGACATCTGTTAGTACTCGGCTTGATTAAAATTCGACCTTTTAACCTTTCCTCCTCTTTTTTGGAGCTTTTTCTTTTTTTTTTTTTGCGTCTATTTTTGCATCATCCACCTGTGTGCGTTGCAATTTTGCTGAAAGCGATATCGCGCTGATTGATTAGGACGGCGCGCGACTCATTCGCTCGCGTTCATGACGATTGTAAATTTTATCGCCGTTGATAAGGATCCAGAGCGGAGTAGCGTAGCAATGTTTACTGATACGCCTCTGATGCCGATACAATTTGTGTTTATTGGTGCGCCGCTACCCGGCTGTCGTCGGCCCTGCAAATCATCATACATCGCGCGCCATATTTGTACGCACATCAAGGGGAATATTGTATTTGTCGGGTTTGCAATCGAGATTGCGATATACGCTGCGGGTAATTCAACTTACGTAATTCGTGTGTTCATTGACGTCTTTGTACGGCGGGATTAGAACAGATCGCTCCTGAAAGCTCATGGGAAGCTTTCAAGCAGGCCTCAGGCACGCCCTTTCTAAAAGCTCTCCAGTGCACTTGACCGTTTCTTGCATTCCGACCGTGCCTTTCGATTAATTTCTTTCTTCGGGGCAAGAGCGGGCGAATTTCCCGCTTCGCTTTTATTTTCTCGGCGTAAATGTAAAATACGAGGTGATTCGACGTGCGAAGCGCGTTATTGAAAAATTTAGCATTTTCATCGCCATTTTGCGCGTGCGTTCGCAAGCGAGCGCGCACACGCGGGCACACAAAAGGGCTTCTCGCAATAATTGGAGAATGGAAATGCAAATTGACGTTAGGAACGTCGAAGGGACACTTTTTCCTCCAGACGTGTCCTTTCTCTCGGCGAAATGAAGGGAATTCAACGTACCATAAAACATATCGTAGACAGGGGTATAACACAGAGGCCGGTTAACGAAAGATGTATTATATAAAAAGGAAATATTCAGCACGCAAATGGAACGGAACGTGTATTGTCCCTAAGGAGGTAGGCTTTTTTTAAACAGAAATAGACGGCGGCTCCTCTCTGATGAAACTTGATTCTTCAACGACGAAGGTGCCTTCGCTCGTTTGCACTATTGCGCTCCACACGTGGAATATGATTTCGTCGAGGTGCAAGCTACTTTCCGATTTAATCGGAAGTGTTTTAATCCGTTGGTCTACCCATGTTCTCGGCTCCACTTTGCTACCTTTTCGAGAACAATTTTCGCGCGCACGCACGCGCACACACACACACACACACACACACACATACGCGCGCGAGATAAAGAAGCTATGAATTATACCGATAAGCTCTTATTCAGCTACGTGCCACATGCAACGATCATTAAGTAACAAGTCTTTCTCCTCGACCCGCATTACTAACAATCCCTGTAATGCTTTATTAGGGATAATCGATACGAAGTATCGAACGTAACATATCGCACGGATTGAGATCCTCCCGAGTATGATTTTTGTCCGGCTGCCTTCTCACGCGAGTCCGAGGATACGGAGAAACATGTCATTTCGCTGGTTGAGGTGTATCGCGTGTTGCGAGTGACCGTGCAGGATGTGCGGGATTTAATGGATCGTACAAAGGCGTAGAGAGCAGAGAAAGGGAGAGACATGAACAAGAAAAAGCATCTCGCAGGAGAGACATGAAAAGAAGGCCGGCGGATAAAAATAAAGTCTCGGCTGAGGAATTTGCCGTCGAATGGCGAATATTCAGCTTGGGAGATTATAGAGCGGGACTCGCGCGAACCTGATTACAGTGCCCTGCGAGAAGAGGGCGACATTTTTAGCCGGCTGAAGTAAAGGATCCGTCCTTTAGATCATAAGACGCGCGCGAAGGTTGAAAAGCTCGTCGACTCGACGGCGGACCTCTGATTTTCAGGCTCAGTAACGTGTCGCAGCCGGCGATGCTCGTCTCACCGAGCCTAGCGACGGTGATGATCCTGGATGACGATCACAGCGGCATCTTCGGCTTCCCGGAAAGGGACGTGGAGTTGGTGGAGAGCGTCGGCCAGCATCCCCTGCGAGTGGTGCGCTACAGCGGGGCCCGCGGACGCGTCATCATCCCTTATCGCACCGTGGAAGGCACCGCGAAACCCGGCAAGCAGTACGTGCACACCGAGGGCAGTCTGACTTTCGAGGACAATCAGACAGAGTGAGTGACTGCTTATCATGATCCTTCCGAGTCGCGCGAAACTCATCGCGTAGAATCGCCTGCGTCGCGGGAAACGCGAGTAATTGTTTCAACCACTTTTCCGTCGCACGCTCGTGCCATTTTCTATTTTCCGTTTTGTCCCCGAGATCGTCGACTTAATGGCGACCTTATCAGTAGCCTCTTCACTTTAATGGTCACTGCTGGCTGACGTGGGTTAGAAAAGGGAAGTTCCATGCCCGAGGGGAAAGAGAAAAGTATTCCCCTCCCTCTCGGAAAGCGTCGCGACGAGATCGCGGTAACACTCTAAACTTGGGGAGAATATTAGAAGAACTTGAAGTTCACAAAGAAGAGAGAAAGAATGTGAGGACGTAATCAACGAACGTCACACATTTTTCAGGGGCTAAGAAAGAAACGTGTACGTACACGCTCATCGTTCGTAGGGCGATCCGAAGCAAGAAGAAGAATCGACGAATTTTAGGTTAGGGAGGCTCGTCGTATTATTCGCAAAACGCGGCTGCTCTGCATCGATTTTTCCACGTGTACGTAATTTTATTAATATCTTCTCGCGCATTGTAGCAAATGTTGACGAACAGCTCATCTCATTGTATCGTTTGTTGAAACAAATTGGAAGATTTCATAGTTATCGCGCGACGAATGCAAATGAAGAGGAAAGAAGCGGTCGACTATTTTTGGATCGTACAGTTTCTTGACGGAGAAGCTACATTCTGGCTCGTAAGATCGCGTTAAATGAGCGAGTTTTAAGGTCGTAAAGGGGAGGGTCGATAAGAAATTCATTGCCACAAGGGAAATATATATACGTAGCATCGATCAGGCGGTAAAGGGAGGAGATATAAAAGGGAAGAGACGAGGGGAGATGTTTATTACATATTTATTGCGCACACGGCGCCGTTATTTATCCGCGTTAAGCATTAATCCGTTCCGTTTTAATTGCACTGTTTGTTCATCCCGAGCGAGCGTAAATTCATTCTCAGACTGTCTGGTTAATTACCCGCAGGTGTAAACGAACATAATTGCGAGTCGCGAACGCAGCCTGACGTTTATTTATCGAGTTTGCACTGTCGACGAGATTGCCGGTTTCGTTTTTACGCGAGCAGCGGCGTGCAACTGATATCCGACTAATATCGACGAGTGAAGTCCGCCGGCTGAAGAGCCGCTCTTTCTTCATATCGATTTTAGATAAAGGCGCATTATGCATCGCGGCGAGAGGACTAACGAGCTACGTATCAAATGGCATAGCTGGCATATGCATATCAGTCAGCAGGTGGAGAGGAAATTTCGTCAACTGTTGGTACGGTACTGAGCGATCAAAGGAGCGGGGGAGTGCGGGGGAGAAGGAGAGTTTTGTTTCCCCTTGAGCGGGAGAAATGACATGACACGTCGGGTTTACGCTAAGTGCGGCATAATAGATGTTAATTAACCCTTTAGCGAGACGCGCACACACGTGAAGATATTGCGCGCGGCGCACCTTCCTGTTTGTCTCGCGACGCTTTGCAGGCGGGAACAACGTTCGCGTGGCGTCTTCGCTCGCGAAGAACGGCGGGAATCTGTTACTGCGTTGCGTAACTCGTCATACAAAATGCCGCTCGGACAGCGTTATCGGATCATATCGGTCGCCGAAGGTGCTCTCGCAGGCGCAGAGCGCGTTACAACCGCTCGGCGCGGCTCGGAGCACAATGTAAGGATCGATCGCTATCGCGGCGCGATCGGTAATTAGGAACTCGCGCCGGATAATTAGATCGTCGGATGTTATCCGGTGCTCAGCCGTAAATTAGCGGTGCGAAATTACCTCGAGGAAAATTACACGGTGGCATTTGAGAAACCGAAATAGATTGCGTGTTGTTGTACGGGTATACGTATACGAGGACGAAGGCCACTTTGTTATTTTCAGTTTGGTCGCGCCTCGGATTTTTATCATCGATCCGCGGGACGAAGCGGAGGCTCGTCCTTCCTCTCGACCATGATTAGATTACATTCGACGGCGAGACGAATCTCCCGTGATTTCGTTTGTCGTCCGCATTTTGCGGACGCAATTTTCTCTCTCTCTCTCTCTCTCTCTCTCGCGTTGAGTCGCGAAGCCGCTGATCCGCGTGTAATTAAAAACTATCGCTTATTGATAATCGGCGTGAACCTTCCCTCCGATATTGCAGTCCTCCGGGATTCTACCGCGCGCCAGACACGAAGTTGTCTATCGAAATTTCCCGTAACAATGCTCGATCGAACGTGCCGGGCTTGTCTATCGCAATTAACTATGCAACAGGGGATACTGCACGATGCCGCGGCTCGCACAATATACTCCTATCACGGCCTTATCAGTAATTAGCGATTCGTATGAGACAATTAGACGGCCGGCCTTTCATTCGCTCATAATCGAGGCCTTGTTTCACAAAATGACGGGATTAATAATAATATCGGCGCGGTGAACGAATACCGAGGCTCAGAAAGGAGCGACTCAAAGGAGCAGCGCTCCGGGATCTCGTCTCTGCTCGCTGGTTCTCACAATTTCTCTTTTTCTTTCTGCCGAATCCTGCCGATTAATGATAATGTTGCTGACATTTCCATAAAATCGTGATTTACGGCTGAATTTACCGTCTTTCTGTCGCTCTTTTTACCCCCCCCCTCTCTCTCTCTCTCTCTCGTCTCTGCTTCCCTCCTCTTCTCTCCTCTTCTCTTCTTTTCTCATAAGCCATCCTTGTTCTCAATCTCAGCTCTAACAATCGCGTCGTGATACTTGTTCCGGTAAGGTGCAACTCTCGCGAGAGGCATTATTCTAATTTCTCGCGATTGTTCCAACCCCTCGATGTCTCGCCAACAACGTTACATCGGAGCGGACTTGAAAGGATTCCTAAACGTTAAGTCGGGAACACGACTGGACTGACGCCAGAAAATGGAGTTTCGAAAGGGTTAAGTCGAAAGTTTCAGGGATTATGGCGAGAGAGGGAGAGAGAGAGAGAAAGGGGGAAGGGGATAGAGAAAGAGTATATATATACTATATTTCTACCTATAGTCTGTAGATATATATATATATATAACACGCTATATTTTTACTTACGTAACATCGAGTGGGCGAGATGCTTAAAACGTGCCGGCGTTAATTTCGCGCGAAGTATTAAATTTCGCAAGGAAGATCGATGTGTGTCTGAAATTCCTCCTTCTTCTTCCCTCTCGTCGTCTTACTTTCTGACGAATCGCGGCGCCAATCCTCGAGCGTAAGTTTCCCACGGGGAAAGCGCGAGTCGCGTAACAAAGTCGCGGCGCACAGAAGGCGCTGGCGGGGACGTCTCTAGCGATCGACGCGACCTTATGAAAATATGGAAACTCAGAATGGCTCCGAGATCTACGGGAATATCAACGGAAATCTATTCGTTCGTTCGTTCGTTCGTTCGTTCGTTCGTTCGTTCGTTCGTTCGCTCGCTCGCTATTTCCGCGATTCAGTTAGGGAATGTTCGGAGTTTGCGAGGTGTTACGTTACCTGCGATGTGACCTACAAACAAAATAGGATACCGCGATGTGTGCGGTGTCACGGTTGTCTCTCCGCGAGGTAACTCCACGAGGAGAGACGGGAGAGATCGCAGAACCGCGGCGGAACTTCTCGATTAAAATTGACAACCTGCTTGAGAGGCCAGGAGCGGATTTACGGATTCTTCGTTTTCCGTGCACTTTCCGCTCCGCCGGCCCTGCGATCGATCTCGATCATGAGCTGATCATCAAATGCCGCAACAGACTCGAATTCGGCGGGAGGCCCGGCGATTTACGAGCGGAGGAACCGAGCCGATCGATTTCGTGGGTTCCGTTTAAAATTAAATTGCTAAATATAAAGGCGCTCCCGCCCCGAGCAGGGACATCTTTCTAAAGGGCACTCGAGGGTCTCCAGCGAGGCGGTATGATTATATATTATACGACCAGCGTTTTCTTTCTCGTGCCGCGATACGCTCCACGACAGTCACGTGTGTGTGCGCGGCACGCACGCGATCTCGATTTATTCCGCGGATTTTACTCGGAGACCGCGGCCGCGCCGCCGCATGTCCCGGACGCAGGAAGAGTGGTTTAATGTTTCAATGGTTAACACAGCGCGGCAGGACTCGTGCGGCCGCGCCGGCGACATTACCTGCGCTTACCTGGAACGTGCGCGAAATGAAAAGCGCGCGCTCGCGCGTGCGGAATCGAGGTCAGTGGGAAACGTTAATGGACGTCGCGTTCGCGCGATTTTACCTTCGCGGCCCCGTTAGACGCGGCTCCCCCCCCCCCGCGTCTCCGCCTCGTCTCGTTCGCGGGCGAGTTATCGCGACGGGATTATCGGCGATAACGCGCCCGGCCGAAATTCACCGATCCAGCTGAGAGTTTTATCGCGTTTTTATCGCTCTCACGAACGGCGCTCTCGATCTCGGCAGGGGGCCGAAAGCCCCTCTCCTTCCCTCTCTTTCTCTCTCTCTCTCTTTCTCCCTCTCGTCACCCCCGGTGGAATCGGCGGGCCCTCGATCGGCGGTCTCACGCGAGGAAAGGGAGAGATCCGGCCCCGGCTTTCTCATCGCCCGTGTGCGTGCGCTAATTTACTCGGGTCTCGCGATCCCGCCATTAATATTTACGCACGTACGATTATCGAGGCGATAACGTTTATTTGGCCGGTGGCGCACGTGGCGCCGACAGGCGTCCATTATCCGGGCCGCACGACGACGCTGATCTTCGCGTCTCCGAGATCCAGCGAGTGTGTGATTTTAGCCACTCCGGTTCCATTAGCCACTGTTTTGCCATGTCCGTCGTCACTCTTTCTCTCTCTCTCTCTCTCTCTCTCTCTCTCTCTCTCTCTCTCTCTCCTTTTATCCGTTAATAAAAATCCGTCGGGACGAGACGACACGACGTACATTTTCGCCCCGGTCGCAATAAGGAATTTCCGTGATCCCTCCGCGAGCGGAGGATCTCCCGAGTGACCTTGAAAATCCCGCTCGGCATTTCCTCTTTCCCTTTTTTCCACCTTTCTCTCT